TTATATCAAACTTGGGCTTTTTGATATTTGATATACAAATACAAAAAAATAGAAACAATTTGATATTTGTCACAGTGAAGATAAAAATTAACAGTGTACTATTAACTTCTTCTTTCTTCACTATATGAGAATTTACTAGTGACGCTATTAAAATTTTTCTGCAAATCTCAATTAAATTGCAAGTTTCATAAATTTCGCATTTTTGAAAATAAAATATCTTTCCGTACTTTATTCTTTAAAATATTTAAAAAATGATTATCAAAATCTATAAACGAAAATGTAAATACAATTAAAATTCTCAATGCGATCTCACTCTTTGCTGAAATTTCAAGAAAATCAGGGTTTGTAATACAAAGGAAAAATTTCGGTGTTACACCAAAAAGGGGCAGAAGACATACCGTAAGGGTACGCCTGCTGTTCCAATTCGCTACGTCCGCTGTGCCAAGTGCTAAGATAAGATGCCAGTGTTCTACTATTTTACAACTATTATTGAAAGTGATAATTTCTCTATTATCATATTTGGAATATTTATTTCATATGTTTTGGCAAATTTAACTTCCTTCCACTATGATTTTTAGTGAAATTCTTTATAATTATAAGCAGAAATTAAAATATGAAGAAATAAAGTTGATAATTACATGATTTCTATTTCTAATTTTGATTCTTAAGTTTTCTAAAAATGGGTCCTACTCCTAAAACAATGAATGTTTTTGTCCAAATAAAAATGAATAATACCACCGAACAGATAAATTCTATAAATTAACGATATTACTAAAAATGTTAAACTTTCTTTTTTATTCTACTTCTAAAAACACCTAAAAATTTGAGGCCTCTAAACCTGAATACATCCTTAAAATAAAGTGCAGTGTCATTTGTGTTTCATTTCTTTATTTGAAACTATAACTTCATTATTTCTAAAAAATAATACATTTCTTTTCAATAAAAGTTTTAAAACTAATTTTGAGATTATTTTTTCAGAAAAATAATTTTCAATGTGAGTCATATGATGTATAACACTGTAAAACGTGAAGTGTTAAAATAAAACCAGAAAGGATTAAAATAATATATTTTGGTGTTATTTTTAACTATGAATGAAATTTTACTTTAAATAAAACACCAAAGTCAACGATTTGTAAAAATTCAACGAATTTAGCTTCTCCAGAGAGAATATAGTAAGTTAGTTACTAATTAGTTACGAACTTACTAACTTAGTAACATAGTTACTAAATTCAATTGTGTTCAAAAAATTTTAAAAAATTCTCGTCAAAATTTCAAATCTCTTTATAAATAATAAAATTCTTCTCTGATATTCAATTATTTTACAAAATTTTAATCAAATTCTTGGCAAAATTTCAAATATTTTCAAAAGTTTTCTAAAATTCAATAATTTTCAATATCTACTATTTCAATAAAATTTTCCAAAAGAATTCCATTATTAAAAAAAATTTGAATAAAATTCTACGCAAACATTCAATTATTTTCATAAATAATAAAAATTTTTACAGGAATTCAATTATTTACAAATTTTTTTATAAATTACTTCGCAATAATTCAATTAATATCATAAATAATAATAAAATTTTTACAGGGATTCAATTATTTTTATAAATATTAAAATTCTTTTAGGAATTCAATTATTTTCATAAATAATAAAACTCATTGCAGAATTTCTATATTATTTTTAATGCAATTTTAATCGAATTCCTCGAAAAATGTAATAATTCTGAAAAGTTTTATTAAAATTCGTCCAAAGAATTTAATGATTTAAAAAAATTTGTAGATATAACATTTTTTATCAGAATTTAATTTCAAGAAACATGAAATTAATAAATTATTTATTTTTGTATTTAAATAATTGAATTCTCGTAGAATTTACTAGTAAAAATGGTTTTTCATTTCATAAAAATGAATTTCAGTTAAAATTTTAGATTATAATTAAATATTAAAAGCATTATAACGTGGATTTTTAGAAATAATTAAATTTTGAAAAAGTTTCAAATTAAAATCATTGAAATTTTTAATTTTATCATATTTTTGACAAAAAATTCTGTAGAATTAATTCTTTTTAAAAGTTCAATAGGATTTTTATTAAAATTATTTCAAGTTTTTATTTTTTAATATAATATTTATTTGCAAAATTTTCGAATAATTGAAATTTTGTAAAATTGAATTGTAAACGAATGAATTTGAAAATTGTCAAAGAACTTTTTTAAAAATTATTAAAAATAATGGATTTATTGAAGAATTTTAATTAAAAACACTAGAAAAAAATTTAATTTTAGAGAAGTTATAAATTATTGCAGAAATTCCATTATTTTCAAGAGTATTAAAATTCTTCTTAAGGGCATTTGAACCTTGATGACGTCACACATGCTTTGCACAATCTGTAACGTCATCAAGGTTCAAATGCCCTTAAGGATTCAATTATTTTTACTAATAATAAAACTGATCGCAGCATTTCAATTATTTTTCATACAATTTACAATTGAATTCTTTGAAAAAAGTATTTATGTTCATGCAAGTTTTAATAAACCACGACAAAAGAATTCAAATATTTAAAAATTTGTTACTAAAATTCTTTATGAGAATTGAATTTTGAGAAACATTCAATTATTTAATAAATTATTTACTCTTGCATTTAAATAATTAAATTCTTGTAGAATTTTCTAACAAGAATTGATTTTCATTTTATAAAAATGAATTTCAGTTAAAATTTTAGATTATATTTGAATATTAAAAGCAATATAGCGTGAATTTTTAGAAATAATTGAATTTTGAAATTAATTTTCATGAAAAAGTTTAATTGAATTTTCTTTTATATTATTTGAAGTTTTTATTTTCTAATATGCATTTAAATTAAAGAATTTAGAAATAATTGAAATTTCGTGAAATTGAATATTGTTAACAAATGGATTTGAAAATTGCCAAAGAACTTTTTCGAAAATTATTAAAAATAATGGATTAAAATTATAAATAATAAAAAATTAAATTAAATTGTAGAATATTGTAGTTAAAAATTTTTGAAAATAATAATTGAATTGAAATAATGAAAATAATTTTTGAAGAAGTATAATATTCTTATAATACCTATAAAATAATGATTTTATTACTTGGTCATCTTTAATTATTATAAAATATGAAGAAATCGATCACTCCGAGTCGAATAACTCCGAACTCGGAGTTATCGATATCTTCATATTTTATAGTTTTATAAAAAATTTAATGAACTATTTCATTCATTGTAAACAATAACACCAAAATTGATTATTTTAATCTTTTTTGGTATTAATTTAATCTGCAACAATTCTTAATACCTCACGATTTACTGTGTAAGGATTAGTAAGTTTATTTTTCTCTAATTTTCTTTTATGGCAGCAACGAAAACAAATATTGTATATATGCTATCAATTAATATGTACATATTAATAATAATCATAATATGTATAGAAATTTCATGAACAAAAAATAATTCTTTTATTGAATGCGTATGTGTTATTATATATTCGAATCCACGGCAGAGGATACTTATATATTATGTGAAAGAAAAAACTTATATTTTACTCTCATCTGCCTGGAACCCAACAATGTTTTATTTGAAAGTTTTTAAAAATTTCAAAATTTTTTTACACTAAAACACTTGCAATAGGTATTTTTTTTGTCGTGTCTAAATGCAGATTTTGAGTAAAATGAGTATAAATCGTTTATTGTAAATGCAGTCAAAAGTGAATGGAACGAAATGTGATATTACCACTTTTTATAATATCTATACTTTGCAGTATAAAAAAAACAATTATCTCTGTGCAAGGGGATTAGGAATAGTTTAGAAATTCTCGTTATTACAAATTACAATAAGCATCTTTTATTAATTTATGGCTTCCAAATACTGAATTTAATAAATTTTGGTTTCATTTTACTATTTTTAACTGTAGGTACACTTTCTAAATTTGAATTAATACAAATATTTAATACTAATTTGAATTATAGTGACTGACGTGCTCTGAAGAAACGGTACGGAAGCAAAGAATATAGGTTATGTTTGTAATTTTTTTAAAATAAAATACACATAAAGGGGATCGATTTCCTTTCTCAATACGAATTACAAAAAAGTGATGTTTAAGACTGCATTTTTTTCAATTTGAAATATTTATCACTTTTTCATTTTCGGATCAATCGATTTACGATGTGTTCCTCTTTCTTCACTCCAACTTCTTTCTTCAATTGACGAAATGCATTTTTAAAAAGAGTTATAGACATATACATAGTTCAAAAAGTGGTCCGCCATTGACTATATGTCCTCCTAATAAAAACTGATTTTAGTTTCAAACAATGAAACAGAAGCTATTAATTTTAATTCAAAAGTCTCTCTTGTCTCTTAAAAATAAGACAAGGACAACCAAACGTCTTGCTTTTAAGCCACTTTTCTTCAGTGTCACGTATCTTCGTTTTAATTTAATTTCTACTGGAAAAGGAAAAAAAACTTTTGTATAAATTTCCCCCTTGCACAAAGTCCAAAGAATATTGATAAAAAAATAAGAATAATAACGAAAAAGTAATAATAATACTTTATAGTAATGATGATGCTGTATTTGTATTTGTTACGAGAACGCGTCTCAAATGGCGAGTGCTTGGATTTTTTAACTGCTCCTTATGTTTAGAGCATGAAAGATTATATACAAAAAAAAGAAAATCAAAAATTGTGTAGAACAAAAAAAAGAAAATTGATAATTCATACTCTACAGGGGAAAAATTGGAAAAACATTTAGATTCTGTAATACTTTTAACAGAAGAAATTGAATAATAAAGTTATTTCAACTTTATTGTTAATTTCCTATTGCATCAATATATTAACTAAATTATCAATATTCATATATATTTTAATTAAATATTGATGCAAAATTGTACAAAGAAATAAATAAATAGAATGAATAGAATAGAAATAGCTCATCCTGTTAGAATTTATTTTCTAGTAAAATTTCAAAAACTTATTTTATAAACGATCATTTTCAAAAATTATACGTCTTCTTCGTTTATTAAACAAAAATTACATCTCTTCGAATGAACTATTATGTGTATAGTGTTCATAATAGAAAAATTCTATATATATAAAATATATACAATGTAATTCTTTTATGACGATTTATTTTCAAAATGAAATATTGCTTTCATAATTGTTATAATGAATTTTATTATTTCTTTGCACTGCCACTTGTTTTTTCTAGGATGTGAATATAAAAACCGGGAGTTTTACATTCCTCGATGGATTTGAAATCTCCATAAATAGTTTGCTTGGCTCGATGATGGAAAGCTTCCATAAGCATATCACGAAAAACAGTCAACTTGTGAGGATAATAGGATAATCTAAATTGGCAAACGCTGTCTGATTGATTGCTATTTTCCTCATTTAATGATATTATATAGTCTAGCGTTACTAAAGTTGGCTTTCCACTTGTGAATAGTACAGATGTAATGATCTGCCGCAAATGTTTACTCTGAAAAATCATTTTTTAAATTATATATATTATATTTATAATTAGTAAACAATAAATAAGAATAAAGAAATTAATTGTATTTATATACTTACATTGTAATAAACGCATTGCGTTGGTGTCTCTCCTGTTGCAATTGCATTATCATAATTTCTATGATCGATTAATAGCAATCCACCGGGTTTCACGCAACGTTCGAAATTAGACAATGCTTGTCTGCAAATCATTTTTTTTATAAATGGGACGTTTTTAGACTCGAAAAGTGGTTTAATTTTTTAAAAAAAGATTAATTTTATTCCTAAACTAAGCTTAAAATGTCTAATTTTCAATCAATTTAAATTTTCAATTTTTTTTTTTTTGATTTTTTAAAAATCTTCTAATGGCGTTCTAAATATATGGTGTCAAACATATATCACAGTAAATCGTGAGGTATTAAAAAGTGTCGCAGATTAAATTAACACCAAAAAAGATTAAAATAATCAATTTTGGTATTATTTTTTACAATTAATGAAATTTTAGTTCATTAAATTTTTTTATAACTATAAAACATGAAGATATCGATAACTCCGAGTTCGGAGTGATTCGACTCGGAGTGATCGATTTCATCATATTTTATAATAATTAAAGATGACCAAGTAATAGAATCATTGTTTTATATTATAAGAATATTACACTTCTTCAAAATTATTTTCATTATTTCAATTCAATTATTATTTTCAAAAATTTTTAACTACAATATTCTACAATTTAATTTAATTTTTTATTATTTACAATTTTAATCCATTATTTTTAATAATTTTCGAAAAAGTTCTTTGGCAATTTTCAAAACCATTTGTTTACAATATTCAATTTCACGAAATTTCAATTATTCCTAAATTCTTTAATTAAATGCATATATTAGAAAATAAAAACTTCAAATAATATAAAAGAAAATTCAATTAAACTTTTTCAAAAAAATTAATTTCAAAATTCAATTATTTCTAAAAATTCACGTTATATTGCTTTTTATTCAATTATAATCTATAATTTTAACTGAAATTCATTTTTATAAAATGAAAATAAATTTTTATTAGAAAATTCTACAAGAATTTAATTATTTAAATGCAAAAGTAAATAATTTATTGAATAAAATTGAATGTTTCTCAAAATTCAATTCTCATAAAGAATTTTGTAACAAATTTTTAAATAATTGAATTCTTTTGTCGTGGTTTATTAAAACTTGCATGAACATAATTACTTTTTTCAAGGAATTCAATTATAATTGTTTGAAAAATAATTGAAACGCTGCGATTAGTTTTATTATTAGTAAAAATAATTAAATCCTTAAGAAGAATTTTATTACTCTTGAAAATAATTGAATTTCTGCAATAATTTCTAACTTCTCTAAAATTAAATTTTTTTCTAGTGTTTGTAACTAAAATTCTTTAATAAATCCATTATTTTTAATAATTTTTAAAAAAGTTCTTTAAGAATTTTCAAATTCATTCGTTTACAATTCAATTTTACAAAATTTCAATTATTCGAAAATTCTGCAATTAAATATAATATTGAAAAATAAAAACTTGAAATAATTTCAATAAAAATCGTATTAAACTTTTAAAAAGAATTAATTATACAGAATATTTTGTCAAAAATATGATAAAATTAAGAATTTCAATGATTTTAGTTTGAAACTTTTTCAAAATTTAATTATTTCTAAAAATCCACGTTATAATGCTTTTAATATTTAATTATAATCTAAAATTTTAACTGAAATTCATTTTTATGAAATGAAAAACCATTTTTACTAGTAAATTCTACGAGAATTCAATTATTTAAATACAAAAATAAATAATTTATTAATTTCATGTTTCTTGAAATTAAATTCTCATAAAAAATGTTATCAACAAATTTTTTAAATCATTAAATTTTTTGGACGAATTTTAATAAAAATTTTCAGAATAATTACATTTTTCGAGGAATTCGATTAAAATTGCATTAAAAATAATATTCAAATTCTGCGATGAGTTTTATTATTTCTGAAAATAATTGAATTCCTAAAAGAATTTTATTATTTATAAAAATAATTGAATCCCTGTAAAAAAGTTATTATTTATGAAAATAATTGAATTATTGCGAAGAAATTTATAAAAAAAATTTGTAAATAATTGAATTCCTGTAAAAATTTTTATTATTTATGAAAATAATTGAATGTTTGCGTAGAATTTTATTCAAAATTTTTTTTAATAATGGAATTCTTTTGAAAAATCTTGGGATGCATGACGATTCCCGACAAACAGTAGATAAGTTAGTAACTAACTTACTAACTAACTATTCTCCCTAGAGAAGCTAAATTCGTTGGATTTTTACAAATCGTTGACTTTGGTGTCTTATTTAAAGTAAAATTTCATTCATAGTTAAAAATAACACCAACATAAAGATTATTTTAATCCTTTCTGGTGTTAATTTAATCCTAAAGGGATTAAACTGTTGCAGATTGTTTTAATCCATTCTGGTGTTATTTTAACACTTCACGTTTTACTGTGTATGAAAAACTCATCTAAAAGTTTAAAACAAAAACCCAAAGAGAAATGACTCATCAATATGATGTTAAAATGATCGTCAAATTGATTCTTCAAATTTACGAAAATGTGCCTGATTTTTACCATTTTTGGACGTCAATTTGACATCAAATTTGAGGATAATATTTTTCACTAAATTAACTTTTTGAAGATAAATTTCCCATAAATTTCTCATTTTTAAATTTTTATTTGAAGATTTTTCATTCAAAATTTAAAAAAATTAAAAGTAAGGGGCGTTACCAATTTAGGGGGGGAGGGGGTTCAAAAATTGAAATTTTTACATGTAACGCAATGGTAACGAAGGGGTCTAAAAAGTTTGAAAAAATGGTAACGTAGTTTATGGACGGCCCCCTAATTTAAAAGAAAATATAAAATATCAAGAAAATTATCAATCCTCCAAGTCAAATATTTGACTTGGAGGATTGATAATTTTCTTGATATGTTTTGTCTTTCAATACAATTTTTTTTGTTTAAGAATTGAAAATATTTTCAAATGTTTCTTTACCTCTGTTCTCTTTGATCACCAAAGGAATCAAGTAAATGAGCAAAACTATTTCCTAAACAGATCACAGCATCAAAGCCATCATGTATCAAGTGGGAGATGTCATCGTACAAAGTCAACCAGTTAGCTTCTTCAATCACTAAAGCATATCATAAAGTATACTTTAATTATTTTAATTTTATTATATTTTGCATCATAAAATGCAACTATAAATACTATGCTAATTAGTATACTAAATCATTTGGTTTTTTTTTATTTCTTATTATAGAAGTAAAAATTAATATAGGCCGAGAGACATATGTAAAGCAATATGACAAAAATTTTTCTTCGTCAATCTCTGACCCCCCACAGTACGATAACATTTAAATAGTATTTCTCATTTTTATATTCTCCTCTCGAAGATGAAGATAAGAATTAATTTTGTTTTCGCTAAATGGATTTGAGAGTGAGCAGCATATATTCGTGTAGTAGTAGTAGTAATATTAGTAATGATCTTTCACAATCATCCTTGTATTGTTTTCTCATTATCTGTACATATTTTAAATTGATATGAAATTCTTATTGATAGTTTTAGATTTAGTTTCAAGAAAATCTGTGCGTTTGAAAAATTTGCTAGATCATAATATTAAAAAAAAAGGAATTCTTTTTATAAAGTTCTTGCATTCTTTTTATGCTGTTTTTTTAATGGTTTGATGATGATCTTACCCCATTTATCAAAAGCCGGTTCCTTTCTTCTATTCCATCTAGATTTCAGAGCGTATTTTAACATTTTATCTGAAGCATCAACGCTAACAACTTCGAAACCTTCTTCTAATAGCATTACAGAATCGACACCTGTACCACATGCAACATCTAAAATTCTGTGACATCCCCTTTCACGAAGTAGGCCAACGAGAAAATCGCGATAATTTTGCTTTCTTTGATTTTTATCGCCTATAAAAACCTCCCAAACTTTGGCTGCTGTCCCATCGGCATACTGATCTCTCACACCTTCTGCTGCTGTTCCCAAAGAACGGGTATGAAATACGGTGTCCATTTTTCTCTTCTATATGTCTGTAAAAATTTCATTGCATTTGCCGCAAGGCGCAACGACAATAGAAAACAATTATGTACGTCAGAAATTTAAAAAAAAAAATGTTTGTCAATTATTGCTTTGTATTCTACATTTCTGGTGCCAAGATAATTCATTCTTTTTACAGGAAAATATGAAAGTTTACGAAAAATGAGTAAAATTTATGAAATTTGATAATTTCCAAAAATTACAACTATAACCCTTTCTGAATTCAATTATTTTCTATAATTTTCAAACTTCATCTCTAAATCAATTATTTAAAATAATTTTTCAAAAACTTCTTCGAGAATTAAATTATTTAAATAGGAAAATTCAATTTCTAATTCGATAATTTTAACTGTCCATGTTATTTTCTCCAGTTTATTAAAGTATAATATTTTTAAAAAATAAATATAATCAAATTTTTGAAGAATTTTGAATGTAAATAATTTTAATTCTCCGAAATTTTAATAAGTCCCAAAAAGTAAATTTTTATTTGCTTTATTCAAAGACAATAATTAAATCTTGAAAAATTATAATAAATTCTAAGATTTAAGTAGTTTTTAAAAATATTTTAATTAATGTAATTTTTTCGAAAACAATAGAATTTCTTAAATAAGATTTTTGTATTACATATTTAGAAAAACTAATTAATTTTTCGAATTTTCGATGAATTTTAATGAAATACTTTTTTCTCCAAAATGTTAAACATAATTATAAAATATTATTATTTTTTAAATGTATTTCAATTTTAGGAAATATGTAATTGAAAGTACAGAAAACAGTAAATTTAAAAAAATTAGAAGCTAATTTTCATTAATTTTAATTTTCATTATCATTTCTAAATTTACATTTTTTGAAGAATTTTCATGAAAATTTTTGATAATTCAATTATTTTCAAAATTTGCAATAATTCAAATTCTTCAAAAGTTCATTTTCAAAAATTATAACCAAAAAAAAACTTGAAAAAAATTAATTATTTTCAATTAAATTTTACAAACTTTTAATTATAAAAAATCTTTTTAATTGTATATTTCGAAAATTTAAATAGAAAAATAATTCAAAAATAATTTTTGACAGATTTTGTCAGACACACATACCAAAATAGTCATTTCTAATGCAATTTTTTATGCTGAACCCGAAATATATTTTTAAATATTAGAAACATTTTTTAATATTCTAAAAACTTAGATTTATAAAATATTTGAGTACTTTTATCAAAAAACTTTTTCTTCAGTACAATTTTGCAAAGATTATTGAATTTTTATAGATAAATAATTGAAAATTTTTAAAAGAATTAAAATTTCAAAGAATTTGACTCAAAACAATTGAATTCATCAATAATAATTTTTACTGCAACTTTTGTAAAAGTTTCCTACTTTTATTTTTAAAATAGGTTTTATAACGATTTTCATTTATTGAATTTCAAAAGGTTTTCAATTTAATTTAGGATAAATTTCATTTTACATAAAATTTATTTGACATAAAATTTATTTGTTAGAAAATTTATTTCAAGACATAAATTTAATTTGACACAAATTAAACTTAATTTTAACAATGATAAAAAATTATTTAACGTATAATTATCATTTGACATAAAAATATAGGCGCGAATTTTAAAACTGTCCAATAAAATTTTTTTCCTATCTGATTGTTTACTTTTAAAATTCCCAACATTATTTTTGTGACAAATAAACATTAGGTATGTCAAATGAATTTTATGTCAAATAAAATTTATGTCAAGTGATTTTAATGTCAAACGAATGCCAAATAAATTTTTTATGATTTTAATGTCAAATAAAATTTATGTAAAAAAAATAAACTTTATGTCTAATAAAATTTATGTTAAATAAACTTTTATGTCAAATGATATTTATGTTAAATGACATGTATGCCAAATGAATTTGATTTATTCAATAATTTAGAAAAAATAGCATTAAACAAAATACTATTCTTAGATTAAAAGGGGGTAGAGTTGCTTCTGATCAAAAAAGTAAAAATTAAATTTTGTTTACTTCAAGGTCAACTTTTGAAAAAATATTTCTTTCACATATGTCACATTTAAATAACAATTCATTATAAAACACTTTTACAATAATTTAATTTTATCATCTAATTTTTAAAATACTTTTCATAAATTTTAAGTTAAGTTGAAAGAAATTTCAAACATGTTGGGCAATATCTCAACTTTTAAATTGTTTTTTGAAAATATTTTTCTAAACCGAATTAGCAAATCTAAATAGAAATTATGATTATATTCGAACTTTCTTGATACAATTTAATTTTTAGCTCGAGTCTTTCAAAGGTAAACATTAGCATATGTAAATGATTTTAAACATCAATTTCAATTCATAGGTATAATAGAGAATGGAACATTTCTTATAATATTTAATCGAAAAAATGACAAAACAACATTCTACATATTATGACTTGGTAATTCTTTTCAAAATTTCATTTTTATTTCTAATTTTACTAAATGATTTTATCGCAAAATTTTTTTTCATAAACTTGAAAGAAGATTTTAATTTATTAAAGATGATTTAATAAAATGCGATTTCAATTTACACTAAAAACAATTTATTTGATTCAAATAGTCGATTACTTATTGTCTATTATCAAATAAATATTTACTTGAATCAAATAATTTTTAATTATTTTAATTTTTTTAAATTAATTTTTATTTAAATCAATTAAATCGTATTTGTTTCAAATACTGAAATTATTAAAAACAATTTATTTGACTTGAATTAAAAATTTATAAGTTTACCTTCATGGACAATTATATCAAAAGTTTTTAAATTATTCGTTCAAAAATTACAAAAATTATATATTTTTAAATATGAAAAATAATGTAACACTTTTAAAAACACTGCATAAATGTTTATTATTCTAAATTGATACGACTAAAATATTTTTTTTTTTTAAACGAACTTAGAATGATGAAATATGTATATTGGAGATAAACTACAAACCTAATTAAATTTAATAGCAAAATAATAATTTAAATAATAAATATAATTATTTAATATATAAATGTAAATATTTCAAGATAAATTTTTTAAAAATTATTTTCCCATTTTTTTTCATATTAACATATAAAAATATGAAAATTATTTTTAATTTTCGCAATTTAGATAAATGAGAAAAAAGTAATAAGAAAGTTGTGTCGGATAATATAATTCAGCATATGTCATAAAAATATAAAAATACACAAAAAAAAGTGAGATAAGATACTTTATGAAAGTGATTAAGAAATATATATAAGGAAATTAAATGAAAAATAAACTTTGTTTTTCATAACAATTGTAATAATAATCTACTTGCAATTTCAATGATGAAGATGAAGAAAAATGAAAATGTCCTCAGAAAAAAAATGAGCAGAAATGTGGAGGAATACTGGCCCGAGTTGGTAACAATCAGACAATTATATATACGATGATATAGTTGAAGCTCAAGATTCGATTGGGGTGGGGAGGTTCACGATAACAGAAAAACCCTAAAAAGCAAGTGTAAGTATGAATAGTTAATTTCTACGTCATCTTATTAAGTATATATACATACACATAATAATAATGCACGTTGCGATTCTTTAAATTAATTTCATCATTACATAACGGGATATTATTATCAAATTATTTTCATTTTTCGCTAACTATAATATTTGAAAATTTTTATATTTTTTATATCACCAACTCGTACAATATTCGAATTCATTTACAATTCAAATATTTACAAGTTTTTTTATTTTTAAAATCTTCAAAAATATATCTTCATATCGCACAAATTTAATCTTTAAAAATGCAACATGCACATTTTTAAATTTATGATAAAATTTATTTTAGAGAAACGGTTTTTAATTTTTCAATTTCTTCTACAAAAATTATGTATGAAAATATAATATTTACTGTTAAAAGGATAATTAGTTTGTTCTAGTTGACATATTCAATATATTTATAATTTAAAAAAAGAAAAAATTTACTTAATTATTGTTTATATATTTTATATTATATTTTCCTTAAATAACTTGTTCTTGTTACTAGTTTGTTATAAATAAAATTTAAAAATTTAATCAATTTTCTTACAGTTGCTTTCAGACTAATAACAAGATGGTGGATTATTATAAATACGGATGTTCTTTGCATGATCATTTTTAAATGAGAATTATGTTAAATAAAATTTATGTCAAATAAAATTATGATTTTGATGACTAATGAATTTAATTTACTGACATTAAAATTATTTCCCCTGACAAAATTCTTTTTACAGGAAAATATGAAAGTATACGGAAAATGAGTAAAATTTATGAAATTTAATAATTTCTAAAAACTCTTTTCCTGAATTCAATTATTTTTTACAATTTTCAACTATATACTATATCTTAAAATTTCTAATTGTATTTCTATTGAAGAGAAAAAATGGAAAACAGGAAAAATTTAGAAACTTAAAAATTCCAGGCCTTTTCCATGATTTCCATGATTTACAGATTTTGTAGGGACTCCATCCTTTGGTAAAAAATCTAAAATTATCCAAATTTTTCAAAAATTCAAAAAACCGAATTTCTTAAAATTCAACATTTTTTCTTCTTTTTTATAGCATTTAGCTTCAATATTTTTGTGCTCTTCAGAAATACTTTACTTATTTAATAGTCTCCAACCTTTGGTAAAAAATCTAAAATTATGGAAAATTATCAAAAATTCAAAAAAACCGAATTTCTTAAAATTCAACATTTTTTCTTCTCTTTTATGGCATTTAGCTTCATTATTTTTGTGCTCTTGGAAAATAGTTTACTTATTAAATTGTCTCGACTCTTTGGTAAAAAATCTAAAATTATCGAAAATTATCAAAAATTCGAAAAACCGAATTTCTTAAAATTCAACATTTTTCCTTCTTTTTTATGGCATTTAGCGTCATTATTTTTGTGCTCCTGAAAAACACTTTATTTATTTAATAGTCTCTGTTCTTTAGTAAAAAATTTAAAATTATGGAAAATTAGCAAAAATTCAAAAAACCGAATTTCTTAAAACTCAACATTTTTCCTTCTTTTTTATGGCATTTAGCTTCATTATTTTTGTGCTCTTGGAAAATACTTTACTTATTTAATAGTCTCCACCCTTTGGTAAAAAATCTAAAATTATTAAAAATTAAAGGTAAATAACAGACATATGCAAGAAAAAAACAAATTCTGGTGTAAAATTCTATAATTAGAGTAGCACATGATACATGATGCATATAATAGTCCCACAGGTAAATATGTATTTTTAATAGAATGTTTCGTCGACCTTACCATTAAATTATTGAAATTCTAAAAGAGAAAAAATTTCTTTTCTGAACTTGCAGTAGAAACAGATATCAATAAACTACAAGTTTATTTATATAACCACATGATAAATTCATTTCTCTACAATAATTATATTCTTAGTTGAATATTCAGGGAAGGTCTCTCTCTATATATATAAGATCTCGGGGAAACTATAGATTTTCAACTCTACTTCAATCTTATATTTTTAAATCATCATAAACGATCGTTAACTTCTGTAAAAAGTAATTTAAAAATAAAATAAAAATGACTCATATCTTAGTTCAATATAATCTTATTAAGTACTACTGGTTTTTTTTTTCATCAACACATTTACAAGAAATAAGAAAAAAAAAATTATTTCGAACAACTGTCAAAATGTATTCTAGAAAGTTAGAAAAATTAAGATAAAAATACAATTACAATATAAAAGCCGAGTGTAAACCAAAAAAAAGGCAATTTTCAAAGACAGCGATTTTTTAAAGAATGTGGCAGTAGTTGATTAAGATAAAAATGGACAGTACTGGTTTGCAAATCCTTGAAAAAAGTTTTGCGATTTGGCAAAATCCATAATCCCGGCAGTATTTGTATGCAAGTAGGCGTGGCATAGGCGTACAAACATAGATATCAGTAAGAGAATTTGAATTTCTAAAATTTTATACTTTTTTTATAATATACGTTTAAATGTAAAAAGCTATGGGGTATATGCAACAAATTTGCAGTTCAACTCCAATGTAACATTCTTCTTGCAACAATAACTAATGCAAATCTCGTTGCTCGAAACATCCATTTCACAAAACTGCCTTCAAAATATTCTGTCAAAATTGATTTAATTCGTTTAACTACTGTTTTTCTTTTTTTTTATCATATATATATAATATCGAATAAGTCCTCTCAAAATTCCTGCATCAATTTTACTAATTTCACTCAGCAAAATAGTCTCCCGTTCATGCGAACAACTTTATTTCTAGTGAAAAAGAAATAAATTGTAAAACAAATTTAATTTCTCGACAAAATTGAAATAAAATTAAATATAATGCTTATAATTAACAAACACATGTGATTAACATTTTAAAATTGTAATTTATAAGGATTTCTCAAAAATTGTAAAAAAAAAAAAAAAAAATGTTTAAAGCTTCGACAGAGAAGCAAAAATGGTTAAAATTTATAAATTTCTTTTTGTTTGTTATTGTTTAAAATCTAGATCACATTTTGTCAGTTAGTCGCATGAACTGGCATTGTTTAACTCATTATTTCTTTGTACGCCTGTTTTGCTTTTATTTCGTAAGAGCCTCTACCCTCATATATTTTTTAGATCGTCTGGCAAATCATTCTTGGGATGTTTGTTTTCAAAATGTTGCTTATATGTCTTCGGATCTGGCATTTGTGCCTGAAATAAAAATAAATACAATTTTTTATTTAGTTTATAGAAAATAGTATTTAATTTAATTTAATCTCAATAGAAAAACCAGGGGCAAAATTTTTTTGGAAGGTTGATTATAATTTAAAAATTTTTTTGCCCTACCTTCTAATCTGTCTAATTAAAAATAAGGTTTTTACCAGAAAAACAATCCGACATTTTCAGGGTTGGGAAAAAAAAATTTAATTTTGTTTTTCCCTAATTTTCAGACAAAATTTTGACTTTTTCTCTGACCCTGAAGAATATTCTGATTTTAAATAAATTTTAAATTATGAAGAAATCGATCACTACGAGTCTTCGACTCGTACTTATCAATTTCTTCATGATTTATAAAGATATTTCAATTTAAAAAAAATATTATGATAGAAGAATTCTAAGAATAATTTTTGAAAAACATTTTAATATAATTTTCCGAAAATAATTGAATTTCTTAAAAGAATTTTTGTATAATTTAAAAAAATAATTAATTTTTTAATGAATTTTAATTAAAAACTAGCAAATGTTACTAGCAAATCTCGCGAAACGAGATGTTCAATTTATTATTATTATGCAAATTATAAAATTTTCAATTTTCAATTATAAATTTTTGAATAATTTCATAATAAAAATTTAAAAAATCCACTTATTAATAATTATTATTTTTTACATTTTCGGAAAAATTAAATTATTTTTTTAAACATTAAATTTTTTGCCAAAAATCAATTTTTTTTTTAAATTTTCAATCAAATTTCACGAAATAATTCAATTTTTTTCTTAATTTGTTATAAAATTTTTAAAAATCCTTAGAAACAATTCAATAATTTTTAATACAATTTTTAAAATATTTCATGAATGAATCAGGGTGTCTACTATTTTCGTTCAACAAAATTCCCGGTTTTTCCCGGCTATATCCTAATTTTTTCCCGGTTTTCTTTCTCATCAAATTTAAATTTAAATTTGATTTATTTAAATTTGATTTCGAGCATAAATAAATCTTTAAATTTTTTGAAAATAATGTTTTTTTCAATAATTTTAATTGAAAATTTGGAAAATAATTGAATTAAACAAAGAATTTTTTCAATTTTTTAAAAATAATCTTGTCTCTTTATAATTATAATTGAAAATTTGATTTTTCAATTTTATTAAAATTCTATTGATAATAATTTAATTTCTGCAAAGAATTTTACTATTTATAAAAATAATTAAATCCTTCCAAAAAATGCTATTATTTATGAAAATAATTTAATTCTTGTGAAGAATTTTATTAAAATTTTAAAAATAATAAGCAGTAATAATTAATTATTTACTTAATAAGTAATAAACATTTAATTTGCTCAAGAAATAAATAAATATCATTTATTTGAACATTCAGAAATTTGAAATTATAAAAATTTAAGAGAAATTCAATAATTATAATTATTGAATAATAATAGAATAATATAATTTTTAGAAGCAAAAAATTGATTTAAAACTGTAAGAGGGACTTTTTTAAATTTTAAAAATAAACTTATAATTACGGTCACTAACTTCCCTTAATTATTTTCAAAAATTTAAATAAAATTCTTTAAAAGAATTCAATTATTTTTCAAAAAATGTAAAGAAATTTCAATTATTTGTATAGAAAAATTCAATTATCTTGAAACAATGGAATTGAAAAATTAGAACAATCTTATTTTTCAGATCCGCTATTATTAGGGTGGTTCTTATTTTGCAAAAGTTAGAATTTTTTTGGTCGCCGACCGGATTTTCCAAAAAATCACGAAATTTCAACTAAATTATTGTTTCCTTGTCTCGGAAGAAATTTTTTTCTTTTAATAATTATTTATTTTAATGTCAGAAGCCATTTTTAAAAAATTACAAAGGATCCAAAGCAGGGAATGCAGTGAATTTGAATTTTTTGTCACGGATTTTGCAAAAACGCAGAATTTTAAGTAAATAGCTAATTCCTCGCCTCGAAAACTTTTTTTTCTTTTGATATTTATTTATTTTAATATCACAAGCCATTTAAAAAAAAATTCCAAGATGATCCAAGTTGGGGAAAACAGTGATTTGGAATTTTTTGGAATCACGGATTTTCCAAAAGTTTTGAAAACTCGGAAGCAATTTTTTTTTTATAATTGTTTATTTTAATATTAGAAGCTATTTAAAAAAGATTCACAGAGGATCCAAGGTGGGGAAAGCAGTGATTTTGAATTTTTCTGTCGTAGATCTTCCAAAAATACCGAAATTTCATTTAAAAAATCAAATTCACCGCTTTTCCCAATTATCAAAAGAAAAAAATTGCTTCCGAGTCGAGAAATCATTAATTAAGTTGAAATTTCGAAATTTTTGGAAAATCATTGACACAAAAAAATGCAAAATCACTGCCTTCCCGACTTGGAATTTTTTTTAAATAGCTTGTGAGATTAAAATAAATAAATATAAAAAGAAAAAATAGCCCCCGAGTCGAGGATTTGGCTATTTACTTGAAATTTAATTTAGATTTTTGGAAAATCCGTGCCAAGAAATTAAAAATCACTGCTTTTCCCGCTTTGGATCCTCTTGGAATTTTTTTTAAATGGGTTGCGATATTAAAATAAATAAATATCAAAAGAAAATCTTCTATTATCTATTATAAATCTCTTCTATTAAGTATCATTTTTTTCATAATTTTCTTAGTTTTCTGGAGAAAAATAGAAAAAAATTCATTCTTTTTCTTTTCTACGCGTAACGCCTTTTACACTATAATGAAAACTCAATTCAATTTAAGCTTTTAGGAAAATTTTTCCTTGATTGATTTTTTGGGAATCTTTGTGATGCCAAAGATTTGGAAACATCGTCCAAATAAAAACCATAATATGATAAACATGAATGGGCCGAAAAATGGTTTTCTTCGGTTCGAAAAATAGATTTTGAGAGTGTATCGCCGATTTCAAAAGACCATGAACACATCCGATGAAAAGGATTTTTTTTACCATTTTTCTTTACATCAGGATTTATATTCCTCTGAAATCATTTTCTACTGATTAAGAAGTGTAATACTATCTTAAAAAATTGAACACCGATAATTTATTTCACTGAAAGAAAGAGAGTAGATTTAATAAAAATTTCGACTAATGATTTATACCTACCTTACAAACAACGCAAACATGAACAAGAGCTTTTTGAGCAGCTTTCTTCTGATCATTGGCGCTATGGCCTTGCTGTTTTTTCACCTTTGCTGCTCTTTCAGCTGCTTTAGCCTGTGATTGCAGTTTTTGTTGTCCACGAGCCATTCTAAAAAGAAAATTAATATTTAGCTGCGACTAATAATTTATAATCTCAAACTGCTTTATGTAAATGTGTTATTTTAAAAGAAATTATTCACAAACTTGTTTAAAAACAGTTTTAAAAAATTATATAAGTTGCGCAAATTAATTTCCAGAAATACGACCTCCAGCAAATATTTTATTATCATGTTTTCTAGAGGTTAAGTATATTTAATTATTATAACTTTTAAATTACCAATGATTTTGTAAAAAAAATAGGTAAGAATATTTTTTTAAAATAAATTATTATCTTTTGATTTTGTACACTTTTAGCTTCAATATTTTATTTTTTTTAAGTAAATAATTTAATTAGAGGGTTGGATATTTCAAAACAATGATTAAAAGATATTTTTACATCGATTACATTTTATGTTAAAAAGTTTAAAATCATGATGTTATTACTTAGAAAACGAGGCTTCGGGGATGAATTTTTACTTGCCTTTATTTTATTTAATTAATAATTTCAATAATTTTTTTTATCTTATTTTAAACAAAATAAATATAAGTGAAAAATAAACGTTAGGTTATAAACTTTAATTTGATATAATGTTATAAAAAAGTGTTAAAAATATTTAATTATTTTCAAAATATAATTATAAAATTTAAATTTATTTGCATGAAATTTAACCAAAACTCGAAGACAAAATTAAATATAATTAAATATTTTTTAACTGAAAAGAACTTTTAAAATAAGCCTTAAAAATTATGTAAAGACAGATAAATCTTCGTAGATTATAAATAAATTTTTCAAAAAATTCAAACTTGATAGAATATCACTAAAAAATTAAAATCCCTTTCAGAAGAATCACCCACATTAAAAAATTAAAAAATTATCAAATTTTCCGAATAAAAGAATAATTTTTGTTAAAAATTTAGTTAAATATTTACTTAATAATTTACAATAATTTATTAATTAAAAAATTTCAGAAAAAAATTATGAATTAAAAATACAGAAATTAGGATTAACGAAAAGTAAAAAGATTTATAAACATTTTTAATACTAAAAATTAAATTAATTAAATATAAAGACAGATTTACTTGAAAGAGAATATTTCTAACCACTTGTTTTTAAATTTGTTTTGATTTTTGAAGGTCATTAATACTGTTATTGCGCTAATTTGTTACTTATTAATTTACCGTCACGAACATTAGGAACAAATTACAAGACTTACAAATGACATTATATACGTACAAAAAAAAGAATAGTTACAAACTTAGGTTGTGTTCTAAAAAAAACGAGTTCAATGACATAAAAGTCATCAGCGGATCACAATTCTAAAAAGATTTCAGAACACGAGGCGAAAAATGGTGTAAAATACGAACTTACGTGCATGAGAAAAAAATTCAATCACTGTCTCTTTCGGTTTACGATTTCTATCGAGAAAATACAAAAATCATTTCTACTTGTAATATTATACTATATATAAAATGAAAATTTTGTTCAATAACTTTACATATTTGAAAGTGAATGTGTGTGAGTAAAAAATTGATCTCTAAAAGAAATTAACTGCCTCTCGTCATTCAATTCACACTGAATAGAGAATATTTACTAAAATGAAAAATACACTCACCTCTCAATGTAGATTAAAAAGGAATTGTATTATAAAAATTTCTGCTTCTTGAACACAAAGTAGTTTTAGAATTTTGCGACCACGATGAACAGGAAAAAGAAGATTTGTGAAAGGTGGCGCAATATGAAATGTATATATGACAATTTTTAACAGATGTCAAGATTTTTCAGGTAACACTTAACAATTATCATGAGAAAGAAAATCGGTTTTATAAATAAGAAATTGAATATACGTTTTTTTTCTCTTATCCAAATTTGAGCTCAAGTTGAAAAAAAATTTGATAATATAGATAGTTAAAGAACTTAAAAAAATCACTGTGTGGTGGTGATCCTATTGTTTTCTTTGCTCCAACGGACATTCGAGGAAGTATACTGAAGGCAGGACAAATTTCTATTGGTGGTTTGTGTGTTCCTTAAATTCTGGTAAAATTACCAAAGAGAAATTACGGTAATTTCATTTCTTCTCGATCATTTCCATAGAATTTAAGGCCAACGTACAATAATCTTATTTGTCTATCTCCATCTCTCTCACACTCATGGCACCCTTAAGAAATGCATTTTCAAGCTATTGCAGAAACACCTTTACAGCTTCGTGTGAAGGCGATTTTGACTGAATGCACCTTTAAACTGTCAAAACGAAAACGATTCCAGGTACAAAAAATATTGTAAATTTATTAATTTCATTCTAATTTAACAACATGTAAATTGTTCTACAACGTTTATCATGTTTATTAAAGGAAAAAAACAATTTTTTTCTTATTTTCAAATATCTATTACATCAAGTAATAATAATTTTAAGACTAAGTTTCAAGTGTATTTTAGGTTAACTATTTGTGATTGTCAAAAAGATAAAAAAGTTCGTTATAAATTATTGAAAAGTGCCATTAACTTGAGAGTACACACACGGATATTTATAAAAACACGTTTTTTAGACTTCTCAAATTAAACTACATCGAAATATGTAAAAAAAATCTTAATCGAAAATTTTCACAAATTCAATTCTTCCTCTATGAGAAAACAATAAACATATTTATGAAATTCTTAATATATTCTAATCTTTGTTATATTTAAAATAATGTGATGAAATAATACAGAATATTTTATTTTTGTTTTAGATTGACTTTACAAGTCTATTTAGATGAATCCTCTGTGCTGTACATTTTAAAGACGACAATTTATTTTGGAAAGTCTATACAATTGCAAAATGATTGGGTATGTATTCTGAAGTTTGAAAAAATTTAATTACAAATTTTTATAATAATTAAATAATAATTTATGCATATTTATTCAAAAAAAAATATATATATTATATATATTTTGAAACTTTTCGAAAAGATTCACAAAAAATCGACAAAAAGTAAACATCAAAATATTAAATAAATAAAATAATTTTTCTTTTTAGTTCTTCTTTATATTGAAGCGTGTGTTATGTACTACTCAATAAAACATAAAATTATAAAAAATGTGTTAAGAAATATAACAATTTTAAGAAATCTGAATTTCTCAAATTGTCCTATGTCTTTTTTTCTTTTGCTGGCTTGTGTAATTTGTTGTAAAAAACAATTTGCCCCTAATTTAAAAAATTGAATGTTTCTTTAATAAAAAAAAGTCTTCTTTTCGTAATGAGACTTATCCATAAACAGAACCAAAAGATAATTTTTATTCAGTTCAGGTGAATGGATAATTTCACAATGTTTTTTATTCATTCTCAATAATTAACAATGTGGAAAAAAATATTTATATTATTTTATTTTATTTTATTTGTTCCAGGTAATCAACGAAAAAATTCTATTCAGAATTATAGTTCATCAATTTTTCTGTTTATTATATCTTTATATTACGTCTTGAAATTTTTTGATCAGTGCGTGAAAAATTTACGGAATGTCGTCGAACAATGAAAATGATTATTCCAGCAGTGAAAGTGATACAGACTCTGATAATCCCAGTGACAAATATGAGGATTTTGAGAATTACTATGGTACTGAAGATTACACGCCTATTTTTCTAGCCGTTCACAATGGTGATTTAAATAGTGTTAGTACTTTACTAAATGAATATAATTTAGCAGAAAATATACATGAGAAAAGAATGTTGCATGTGGCAGCAGCACGAGGTCATCTACAGATTGTCGATTTATTGATAAAAAACGGAGCTAAACTTAATGTCGAGGACGTCAAGGGAAGAACACCTTTTTACATAGCTTTACTGCAAAATAATGTTGAAGTTGCCGAGTTTCTTTTGGAAAATGGTGCACGTATTAATATTCCAAGAAAAGGCGGAAGAACAACACTTCATGTCGCGATAAAAACGCAGAACATTCAAATTGTCGACAGACTTTTGAAACAGGGTGATATAGTCAATGTACTGGATGCTATGTCCCGCTTGAAACCAATCGATGTTGCTGCCAGTCTTAATAATATCCAACTTGTGGAACTTCTTCTGAAGTACGGCGCCAAGATGGATGAAAGTGATGAGTTTCGCGAAGAACAGAAAGATGACCATAAAAGAATGACAGCCCTTCATTATGCCACTAAATTTGGTAATCTAGAAATGGTCAAATTATTAATGTCGAATGGCTTTGACAAAATTGATGTGAAAAATTTGAAAGACAAAACACCCCTAGGTTTGGCAATAGGCAAACATCGTTTAGGTATTGTGAAATACATGCTTGAAAGTGGATCAAAAATAAATGAGGATATTCCTCTCATCGATCTCTGTGAAACTGATGAACATATAAATGTCTTGAAATTTCTACTTGATCACGGTATAAAACAAGTTACGGATCACACAAAAACTCCACTTTATTGCGCATTAGACAGGCAAGAGTATGAACTTTGGAAGTACCTAATAACCTGCTATTCGAAAATTGATGCTGTATTGTGCTCCAAGGAGACTGAACTTCATTCCGCTGTGCGCGCAAACAACATTGAAAAGGTACAAGAAATTCTCAAAAAAATAAAAGTAAATTCTTTATCTGGTGAATTGGGACAATTCGCAGTTTACATCGCCGTTGAAAACGGGAACGAGGAAATGTTAACGATTCTCCTGGAAGCAGGCTGTTCAGTTGAAAGTTGTTTTAGGGACAAATTATCTCCTCTCCATATTGCAGCCACATTCGAACATACACGCTTGGTGGAAATTCTTCTGAAGTACGATGCGAGGATTAATTCAGAAACAAGAGCATTTCATCGCCCATTCGATTTCGCAGCAGTTATGGGAAATTTAAATATGATTAAATTTCTTATAAACTCTGGTGGTAATCTCATTAGAAAAAAGAAATACTTTTCATCACTAGGGTATTTATTAGACGAAAGTAGAGTTTCAGAAACAATTACACGTTCAATGTTTCAAAATCTATTAAAAATGACAGAGTTGTTATTGATTGCCGGAGATCTCGAGCATAAAAGTGAAATGCATGTTGGTTTTTTGTTGTCATTTGCTAATATTTTAAGAGTTTCTAGCGAGGATGAACAAACTTCGATTAGTGACAATAAAGACATTGTGAATAGTGAGGAAGAGAAATGGGAATATCGTCCTGAAATTGCGAGATGCTTGCTTAATTATTTAAAGGAAAAAGAACTTAAAGAAGTTTTAAATGATGAATTAAGTTGTAATCCAAATATTTGTGAATTTGTTATCGACTACTACGATTCCAATTTCATTCCCATTGATTATGAATTTAGTGGAAATGATTGGAATGATTTATTTATAGTGAATGAAATAGAGGACGTTTACACGCTTTTGAAAATTACACAAAATAATTCAAATTCGGGTAGATTAACAAAAAATGATGATAAACTTTTAAAGTTGGTAATTGCACGTCTTGAACTGTTAGAACCCAGTTGCAAGCAAATAATGAAATATTTCCATTCAAGTGAAGATAAAACAAAAATTCGCAAATTTCAAAATAAATTTCAACAGCAGATAGTAATTATGCAAAAAACAAAATTTAGCGATAAATTAAATTTGACTTTTTACGATATTCTAGTAAAGTCTACTGATAAAATTGCGAGTTGCGTAAGACATGAGAAATTATTACATACCAATAAAGTATCGTATGCTAAATTTTCAGCGTATAAAAAATTTTTAAAGTTGCGTACTGAGAAAATAAAGCGTAGAATTGAGTTGATTGACATATCCACGAATTGTTTGTATCATTATATTCAAAGGAATTATAAAATTAAATTTTCAACAACTGATTTAGAAGAAATTTTACAATATCTTTCAATGAGCGATCTTGGAAAGTTGTCAGCAGTGTTTTCTGAATTTTCAGACTATAAAATAAAGTGGTAAATATTAATCAACGATGGAAAAAATTTGAAATTTCATTATAATAGTATGTCAGTCACAGTTTCTATACTTTTTAATTTAATTAGACAGAAATATTTTTAAAAGATGCTTCTTGTTATCAATTTGTTGCATCTACTGCAAAAAGTTTTGTACTCTCCATTATATTTTTGTATTGTCTATTGTACTTGCTGTTATATGTAAGATAAAGTTAAATTATTTAATATTTCGCACTAGTTTCATTATAAAGTGATCATTGTAGAAGTACCTTTATACTTTATTTATATAAACAACAACAGAGCCGCGTATGCACCTTTATGTTTTAAAATAAGACATTATTTGTCAATACTTCTTCAAAATAAAATTTTCAACTAAAAAGGCTAAAAAGTAATTAAGTACATACCTACTTTATAACTATTATTCACTTTACTGATCTCGGAGTATTTTATGATAGTGTTTGAAAATTTAAGTTTGAAGAACCCAGATAACAATCGTGCGTCGCATTTAAACGCATGTTTCTTGCACTAACTGCGACTTACCAGATGAGTCGGTTCATATACGCATCTTACTATCGTCTGTGACGCTGGTAATAATGCGAGTGTTGTGAACTGCATTTCGTAAGCGCCTGTGATACAAAATGATAAGCATGTTCCGTTCACAAGTGCGACTCACTAGAAGAGTCAATCCATACGCATTTTACCATCCACAGTGCGAATGCTGTGAATGCGTGTGCAGTGAACTGCACTTAATACGCACGCAATTAATGATGCGCAACCACCCGTATCGGCAATCACACATTTTATAATGGTGACAGCATTGTTTGTGGTGTGTTATCAAAATAAGTTTTTATTGTGATTTCATTTTTTATTGTTTTTTATTGCGATATTATTGTGAGGAATTATTGTGGATTTAATTTTTAGTACTGCAGCAAAATAAGAAAGTTAAATTTAATTTGTTTAAAGTACATATATATTTTTGTTGTATTAGATATAACCTCAAAAAAAGAATTTGGAAGTTTTTAACAATTTCAATTCCAAAATTGTACTGAAATATTAAATTAAAATCGTTTTTATAAATAACATTTTAATTTAAAAAAAATTACTAATGTCAATAATCTTTTCTTTTTATTTAATTCAAATAAGGCTGAAGTATAAATATAATTTATTCGCATTATACCGTCACGCATGTGCCCATCACAATATGCGACAGTTATGGATCGCATATGATGACGCATCTGAGTGGTCCAGTGAACGCGCATAGTGCGGATAAATCGGCACGCGTGCAGATGATATTAGTAGCACACAACGCGCATTTTGTTATCTGGGAATTTTAATTGCAAATTCTAAAAATGCAATCCCATTTTTTCAGCAGAAAGCGTGAAACCGAAAGCAGAATTTCCTAAGTGCAAGAGAAATAGTCAGCTAGTCTATCTCTCTTGTACTTATGATTTTCTGATTTCGGTTTACGCTTACAGCATTTTCAAGCTAATGCAGAAACACCTTTGCAGCTTCTTGTGGTGGCGATTTTGACTGAATGCACCTTTAAACTGTCGAAACGAAAACGATTCCATGCACAAAAAATATTGTAAATTTATTAATTTCATTCTTATTTAACAACATGTAAATTGTTTTACAACGTTTATCTTGTTTATTGAAGGATCCAAAAAACAATTCCTTTGTGATTTTCAAATATTTATTACATCAAGTAATAATAATTTCCTATTGTAAGACAAAGTTCCAAGTGTATTTTAGGTTAACTATTCGTGTTTGTCAAAAAACAATTCCCAGATTTTTGCTAATCTCAAAATTGTACTTTAAAATCTTTAAAATTAAATTGTGCTGTAAGACAAAATTTCCTGTTTATTTGTATTTTTGTTATGGAATGTTCTATAGACTAATAACATTTTATTTTTTATCATAAAATGTGTGAATTTAAATGCCCTTTTAGAAATTTCAATGTTTCAGTTTTACAATTTTTTTTTAATTTATAACTTTTAAATTTGGTACTTAATAATTGTTTCTATTTATTGCCTATACTTAGAACAAGTTCTGAAACTGAAACATTAATTTAAAGTAGTCATTTTACAACAGGGAATTTAAATACGCTGATTTTCGTAATTTTACGCGTTTGGATAGCTTCTAAATGAAAACACATTATTCGCCAAAGCGATTTATAAAACTATAAAAAGACCATATCAAAACTATATAACTACAGGAAGTTATATTACAGTGTCCTTTAATTTAGAAGTTTATAGATATGATAATTTCTAAATTTTCAAATCCATTATGTAAATTCTTGAAATATTTTATTGTGTTTTAGATTTGAAATTGAAATAATGTAAAAATTATTATAAATTGTAAATTTATGAAAATCTACGAATTTATCTTCGTTATATTTAAAATAATGAGATAAAATAATACAGATTATTTTATTTTTGTTTTAGATTGAGTTTACAAGTCTATAGATGAATCCTCCGTGCTTTACATCTTGAAGGCGACAATTTATTTTTGAAAGTCTACAACTGCAGGATGATTGGGTATGTATTCTAAAAATTATAATTACACTTTAAAGTAACATTATAATTCACAAGTAAAATTGAAATTTAAGTTTAATAAATAAATTTTAAATATTTTTTGATTATATTATATTATGTATATAAGGGTAAATCTCACGATATAAGGATAACTTGGGTACTGTTAGTTTATAACTGATACAAAAAAAATTCATTTTTGTAAAATCAAGTTTCCATAAATTATGTCACAGGTTTTTTTCATTTTCTTTAATAATGTTTAATAATAATGTTATCCATATTTTAAATAGTTCTTTGAGTTAATTGGTTGCCGGCACTGTGGTGTCATTAGTGAGTTTTAAAAGTATAAGTTGGTAGTCATGTGTGGACGAGAGAATCAGGATGTCTAAGATAGACTAGCAAGCGAGACGTCGCGCAAAAAGAAGTATCTGTAAAGCAGAAGGGCAATCGTGCCGTAATTTGTAACAGTAATCGTATTTGTTGTTGAGTGTGAATTGCGAGAATAGAGACCAAGTTGGGTCGTAATCGAGGACTTTAAAGTGAACGTTGTATAGTATCGGTTAACCAAATTCTTAAGTGTATATCAAAACTGAGCACAAGCCACCTTTGTTGTCAATAAATATTAATTCCTATATTACTATTCTTACACACGAGGCTTTTAATTAAAACAAAACCGTCCTAACAATTCAGAAGTGGGATACGGTGGATGCGGTTATGTGAATTCTTGGTGGATGTGGATTATTATTGAATTGTGCGAACATGTGCTCGTGGAAAAAGAAAAATGGCCGTCGCGAAAAAGGTCTTTCTTTCGGCGACTGCTAAGAAAGTGTTACTGTGTTGTTCTGAAGTTCTGTTGATAATAGTGACGTATGCCATCTAGTGGTAAGAAGAAGAACTTCTTAGAAGTGTACAGTACCTGTCAAAATGTCACAACATCAACAACAACAACAACTTGCGGCCAATGCTCTTGTCGAATTATCTTTATCAGACCAATTGCCACCGGGAGCAATTCGCAGAGAAGACGGAACTGTGGTATTTCTAAATGGAGAATCTATTATTCCGGAAGGCCCCAATACTAGACCAGGACAGGGAAGTAACGGAGGCCCGTTACAAAATAGTGTTATTTCTCCGGGAGTGGTAGATCAATCGCAATTATTGTTGGCATTGACTACTATTTTGCAGCAAAATGCAACATTAATAGATAGAGTAACTCAGAGCCGAGATCAACAGACACATCATTACAATGTATTACCGGATTTGTCTCACAATATCGTCAATTTTAATGGAATCTCGGGTGCAGCTAGTGCGAGAGTGTGGATTAAGCAATTGGAATCGACGGCAACATTGCATAAATGGACAGAAACGGTTGCTTTCGAAACCGCCCGTAGTCACCTAGAAGGTGCTGCCAAAAACTGGTATTTGGCCAATATCGATGAAATCAGAGACTGGAAATCATTCAGAAAAGCATTCTCGAATACTTTTTTATTAGAAAAATCACTTACCGAGAGATTTCAAGAAATGCAAGCTAGAATTCAACAACAGCAGGAAAATACCACGGAATATTTTTTTGACAAGTTGCGACTATGCAAAGCATTGGGATTTACGTTGGATGAAATAAAGAAGCAAGTCGCTATAGGACTACGATCACGAGATTTGAGTGTAGCTGTCATGAGCAAAAATCATGTGGATGTAGACGACTTACTACGTAACATAATCGAATTTGAATCATTGGATACGGCAAGAAGACAGTTGGCTGATTCGTCGAGAGATCAACGTCGAGCACCAGAGAGTCAACGCAGAATTGGATCGAACTTACCACGACAGTCTTCCTATGTTCCTGAGCATCGTGGAGCAATTCCAAAATCATCAGGTAACGTCAAACAAGAGGAATCCAGCAATATTGTTTATTCGAATGAGGTAAGCTCTGAAAGAAGTTGTTATCGATGTGGTAAAAAAGGTCATTTCGCGAAAAATTGTTTACAAAAACCGATTAGAAATTGCTTTAATTGTTCGGAACCCGGTCATTTGGCTAAGGATTGCCTAAAGCCAAAAAGAATGATGAAGGCTGAAACTAATATTATTTCGGAAATTGAAAGTGTAGAGACGATTAATAAATATATCAAAAATGTAAAAATTGGCGGGAATGAAATATTAGCTTTTATCGATCCAGGCAGTTCAGATAGTATAATGAAGGAATCCGTTGTTGAAAAATTCGAATTTTGTTTTAATAAACAAGAGAATGAAATTGAAGGTTTTGGTGGGGGAAAAGCATACTCAAAGGGAATAACTAGACAAGACGTGAAAGTCGATAATTGTGAAATTAAAAATGTACTTTTCAGAGTTGTGAATGATATGGCACTGCGTTATGATGTCATTATCGGCAGAAATTATACTGAATTACCAGAATTAGCTTTTTATCGTTACGGAGACAAATTTGAAATTATTTCTAGTGAAAATTTTCCCTTTTCTCATTTTCCTGAATTACCAGTGTCAGGTAAACCTGTGGTGAAAGAATCAATATGGTTACCACCTGCGTCTATTAGTTTTATTCAAGTGAAAATCAGTGATTCGAATGAAATTTTACCTGTCAAAAATTATAGTAGCGACGTGATCAAACTTGATAAAGGTTATGTTTTTAATCAAAAAGTGACAGTTTCGGAAGTTAGAGAAATGAAACCGCGAAGAGAACCGATTACAGAGAATGAAGTAGTAGATATATTAGAATTATCGAAAGAAAGAAAATTAGAATTGCTCGAGTTGTTAAATAGATATAGAATGTGTATAGCCCTTAATCTGTCAGAACTAGGTTGCACACACTTAATTCAAATGGACATTATAGAAAAGCCAGGGACGCAGCCACCTTATTCGAAACCGTATATTACAAATACTGAGAAGCGAGAAAAAATAAAATCAAAGGTTGCAGAATGGAAACAAAATAAACTGGCAAAAGAAACTGTAGCTGCTTATGCCAGTCCATGTTTACTCGTTGAAAATCCAGATGGTTCTACACGCGTTGTAGTAGATTATCGAAAAGTTAATAAAAATACAATTCGCATGAATTTTCCTTTACCAAATGTAGACGATGGGTTGGACGCGTTATTCGGGGCTAAAATTTTTGCGGTTCTAGATTGCGCACAAGGATATCTGCAGATTCCCTTAACTGAGTCGGCTAAAGAGAAAACGGCGTTCATAACGCAAGATGAAACAGGGCAATTTGAAAGGGCGATGTTTGGCCTAATGAACGCGCCCTTTTATTTCGCTAAACTCATGAAAATGATTTTTGGACCGTATGGGAATCAGCTAGCTATAACGTACTTTGACGATATTCTCGTTCACGCAGTATCGTGGGAAGAACTTATGTTAAAAATCGAAAAAATTCTAATTTTGTTGCGAGACGCGGGACTAACCTTGAATATAAAAAAGTGCAAATTTGGTCTTGACCAGGTAGAATATCTAGGATATTCGTTCGGAAAGAACGGTATGAGCCCGGGAGACAAAAAGATACGCGCGATTCTCGAATTTCCGACACCCACCGATGTTCATACTGCACGAAGTTTCCATGGGTTGGCAAGTTTCTTCAGGCGATTCGTGCCCGGATTCGCAACGATAGCAGCCCCCATTGTAGAATTGTTTAAAAAGGACGAAGTTTTTCTGTGGAATGAACGACGTAATAACGCATTTCAAGAGCTTAAATTGAAACTTGGGTCACAACCGGTTGTAGGATATTACAATCCACAGGCAGTTAGGACGGAACTACATACCGATGCTTCGTCGTTAGGTTTAGGTGCGATGCTACTACAGGGAGATAAGAGCAATGAGTTAAAATTAATATACGCTATCAGTAGACGCACTTCGGAAACCGAAAGACACTATCATTCGTCTAAATTAGAACTAATGGCTATAGTCTGGTCGATGATTCGACTTCATCGATTTTTGATAGGAATAAAATTTCACGTGATAACCGATTGTCAGGCCCTAGTGCACATTGATTCTTGTAAAACAAATAACCCTCAGATAGTTAGATGGTTAAACTTAATTTCCGAGTATGACTTTGAAATTCATCACCGTTCGGGTGAGAAAATGAATCATGTAGACGCGCTGTCACGTGCACCAGTGGAAGAAGCGAACGATAATTTGATAATGGCTACGAATTTTAATATTTCTGTACGCGAGGACGAAATCATGATGTATCAAAGATGTGATGAATTGCTAGAAAGAAAGATTAAAATTTTAGAAAAAGTCGAGAATACAAGAACGCGTCGAGAGAAGGGGGAAGTGGTCGATTATGTTCTGAGAGATGGTATATTATTTAAGAAAGACCCACGAATTACGGAAAAAGAATTGTACGTTGTTCCGAGAGCGATGCGCAAAGCGCTCGTGATTAAAAATCACGATTTATCAAGTCATTTCGGTGTTGACCGCACGATAGCTAGAATAAGTGAGCATTATTATTTTGCACGAATGCGAAATTATGTGCGCAGGCATATCAATGCATGTGTGGAATGTTTATTTGCGAAACGTAAACACGGGAAGCAGGCAGGGGAATTGCACCCTATTCCTGCAGGAAAGAGACCTTTCGAAATCGTGCACATAGATCACCTCGGACCATTTGTAACATCGTCTAGAAAGAACAAATACATTCTCGCGTTAAACTGTAATTTAACAAAATTTTGTCAATTATACGCAGTTAAAGATACTAAATCTAGCACGACGGTAAGAAAAGTTGAGGAGTTTGTCCATCGTTTCGGAGCGCCGAATCGAATAGTAACGGATCGTGGGACAAGTTTTACCGCCGAGAATTTTAAACACTTTTGTGAGTCTCATGGGATTAAATTGACGCTTAATTCAAGTCGACATGCACAGGCAAACGGTCAAATCGAGAGACTGAATCAAACCATTTTGCCTGCATTACAATCCAGTATAACGGATACTGAAGGTCGTTATTGGGACGAAAATGTCCGCAAATTAGAGCGTGATTTAAATACAGCTGTATGTAAAACAACAGGGCGTACTCCGTTCGAAGCTCTTTACGGATATGTACCTCGATTTAATGAAGGGCTCGCACGAGAATTATCTGAGAGATCGGAAACGTATTGTCCGCCGGAAGATGTTCGGGATGAAATTTGTGATAAGATTGAGCGTGAAAAATTGATGTGGAAAGAGCGATATGATAAATCCCGATTATTAAATGTGAAATTTCAGTTAGGTGATATTGTTGCCGTACGATCTTCGAAAGTCGCTAGTGGAGAATCAACCAAGTTGCAAGCCAGGTATAAAGGACCTTTAGTTATAACGCAAATTCTTCCTTCCGATACATACAGAGTCCAGAGTCTTGCTGCTAAAGGTGATTCGAAACGAGCGACTACAGCTCACGTCAGCCAAATTAAAATCTGGAGTGCCTTTAATAGTGTAAGTGATGATGAGAGTAGTTCCGATGAGTCAGATCCAAATGTAAGTGAGCAATCGATGAATGTTAATGATAATGTGCTCGAAAACATTGTAAGCGACGAATCGAACTTAAGAAGTAAGCGTATCATTCGAAAACCTCGACGATTGATTGAAGAGTAAAGTACGTATGAGTAATAATTACATTGTTGTGAATGAAACATATTTTTATTGCAGCTTGGAGGACCAAGCTTAAACAAGGATGGCCGATTGTTATCCATATTTTAAATAGTTCTTTGAGTTAATTGGTTGCCGGCACTGTGGTGTCATTAGTGAGTTTTAAAAGTATAAGTTGGTAGTCATGTGTGGACGAGAGAATCAGGATGTCTAAGATAGACTAGCAAGCGAGACGTCGCGCAAAAAGAAGTATCTGTAAAGCAGAAGGGCAATCGTGCCGTAATTTGTAACAGTAATCGTATTTGTTGTTGAGTGTGAATTGCGAGAATAGAGACCAAGTTGGGTCGTAATCGAGGACTTTAAAGTGAACGTTGTATAGTATCGGTTAACCAAATTCTTAAGTGTATATCAAAACTGAGCACAAGCCACCTTTGTTGTCAATAAATATTAATTCCTATATTACTATTCTTACACACGAGGCTTTTAATTAAAACAAAACCGTCCTAACAATAATTAACAATATACAAAAAAATATTCCAATATTTTTTATTTTACTTTCTTTGTTCCAGATAATCTACGATAGACTTCTTTTCGGAATTGTAGTTCATCAATTCTTCTGTTTATTATATTTTTGCATTACGTATGGTAATTTTTTTGATCAGTACGTGAAAAATTTACGAAATGTCGTTGAACAATGAAGAGGATTATTCCAGCAGTGAAAGTGAGCCAGATTACGATGATTACAGTGACAACTATGAGGATTTTGAGAATTACTATAGTACAGAATATTACACACCTCTTTTCCTTGCCGTTCACAATAGTGACTTGAATCGTGTTAATACTCTACTGAATAAAAAAAATTTAGAAAAACATGTGCATGACAAAAGATTGTTGCATGTGGCAGCAGCACGAGGTCATCTACAGATTGTCGATTTGTTGATAAAAAATGGAGCAGAAATTAATGTCGTGGATATCAAGGGTAGAACACCTTTTTATATAGCTTTACTGCAAAATAAAGTCGAAGTAGCCGAGTTTCTTTTGGAAAATGGTGCACGTATTGATATTCGAAGAGAGGACGGAAGAACAACACTTCATGTCGCGATAAAAACGCAGAACATTCAAATTGTCGAGAGAATTTTGAAAAAGGGAACTATGGTGAATGTACTAGATGATATGTCCCGCATGAAACCAATTGATGTTGCTGCCAGTCTTAAGAATATCCAACTTGTGGAACTTCTTCTGAAGTACGGCGCCAAGATGGATGATAGTGGTGAGTTTTGCGAAGAACAAAAAAAGGTCTATAAAAGAATGACAGCCCTTCATTATGCCGCTAAATTTGGTAATCTAGAAATGGTCAAATTATTAATGTCGAATGGATTTGACAAACTTGATGTGAAAAATTTTAAAGACAAAACACCCCTAGGTGTGGCAATAAGCAAACATCGTTTAGGTATTGTGAAATATTTGTTTGAAAGTGGATCAAAAATAAATGAGGATCATCCTCTCATCGATCTCTGTGAAACTGATAAACATATAAATGTCTTGAAATTTCTACTTGAGCACGGTGTAAAACTTGTTACGGATCATACAAAAACTCCACTTTTTTACGCATTAGACATGCACGAATTTAAACTTTGGAAGTACCTATTAACTTGTTATTCGAAAATCGATTCTGTATTATGCTCCAAAGAGACTGAACTTCATTCCGCCGTGCGTGCTAACGACATTGAAAAGGTACAAGAAATTCTCAAAAAAATGAAAGTAAATTCTTTATCTGGTGAATCGGGACAATTCGCAGTTTACATCGCCGTTGAAAACGGAAACGAGGAAATGCTAACGATTCTCCTAGAAGCAGGCTGTTCAGTTGAAAGTTGTTTTAGGGACAAATTATCTCCTCTTCATATTGCAGCCACATTCGAACACACACGTTTAGTCGAAATTCTTCTGAAATACGGAGCGTGGATTAATTCAGAAACAAGAGCACTCCATCGCCCATTGGATTTCGCAGCAGCTTTGGGAAATTTAAATATGATTAAATATCTCGTAGACTCTGGTGCAAATCTCATTAGAAAAATGGAAGAAATTTCATCAATAAGATATTTATTAGCCCAAAGTAAAGTTTCAAAAACATTGACACCATCAGTATTTCAAAATCTATCAAAAATGTCAGAATTGTTATCAATTGCCGGAGATCTCAAGCATAAAAATTACTTCCATGTTTGTTCATTGCTTAGAGATGCCCTTAGATTACCTGTTTTTGACGAGGACGAACAAACTTCGATTGGTGACAATAAAGAGATTGTGAATAGTGAGGAGAAAAAAGGTGAATTTTGTCCTGAAATTGCGAGATGCTTCCTCAATTACTTAGACAATAAATTACTCAAAGAAGTTCTAGATTTTGAATTAAGTCGCGGAAAGTATTATTCAGGAATTTGTGAAATTATTATCGATTACTATGATTCTAAATCCATCTCAAATCATTGTAATTTTAGTGGATGTAATTGGTCGGATTTATTTATTGTGAATGAAATAGAGAAGCATTACAAGCTTTTGAATATTATACGTCATAATTTATATTCGAGTAAATTAACAGACAATGATAATCAACTTTTAAAGTTGGTAATTGCACGTCTGGAACTGTTAAAACCCAGTTGCAAGAAAATAATTGAATATTTCGATTCAAGTGAATATAATATAGAAATTGACAAAGTTCAAAATGAATGTCGAGAGCAGATAATAATTATGGAAAAAACAAAAGTTATCGAAGAATTAAATTTGACTTTTAACGATATTCTAGTAAAGTCTACTGACAAAATTGCGAGTTGCATAAGAGATGTGAAGTTGTTAAATAGCAATGAATTAACGTATGATAAATTTCCCGCGTATACAAAACTTTTAAAGTTGCGTATTGAAAAAATAAAGCGTAGAATTGAGTTAATTGACATATCCACGAATTGTTTGTATCATTACATTAAAAGGAATTATAAAATTCAATTTTCAACAATTGATCTACAAGAAATATTACAATATCTTTCAATGTGCGATCTTCGAAAGTTGTCATCAGTATTTTTTTAATTTTCACACTATAAGAAAAAGTGATAAATAATAATCAACGATGAAGAAAAACTTTAAATATCATTATAATATCTCAGGTACAGCTTCTGTAGATTTTTAGTTTGATTAGACTGATCTATTTTTAAAAAACACTTCTTGTTATCAATTTGTTGCATCTACTGCAACAATTTTTGTACTCTCCATTATATTGTTGTATTGTAAATTTTATTTTTGTACTTGCTGCTATATGTAAGATAAAGTTAAGCACGCTTAAATTATTTAATATTTTAATATGGAAACAAATAATTTTGGCAAAAAATTAATGGCAAAATTTCGTCGCAAAATAAAAATATTTTTTATAAACTTATTGAATTTTATTTTTCAACTAAGGGTACAGTCACACGATCTCATGCAAAACTTATGCATGCAGGTTGCCATGGTAGCGTTCAAGAGTGAGAGAGACAGGAAATTATTCTATCTCTCTCACTCTCGAACGCTACTATGGCAACCTGCATGCATAAGTTTTGCATGAGAAGGTCTGAACGCTCCCTAAGAAGAAGTAACTACATACTTTAACTATTTTTCACTCTAGAGGTCTTTGTTAAAGTATTTTATGATAGTGTTTGAAAATTTAACTCTCTGCAGATGCTAACGACCGTTATCGTCAAAAATCGTCATTCTGGACGCCTGGTGGGGACTATGGGAGTTACGTGCTTTGGCGATAGAGTGGAGATAAGTTAGCATCAGGGAGCATTTACACCTTCGGTAAAAATTTCCCGAACGGAAAATTTTTTATTGGAGTAAGAGAGACAGACTGTGTATCTGACTCTCTTACTCCAATGCAAATTTTCCTTTCTGGACAATTTTTACAGAAGGTGTAAACGCTCCATCAGCAGAGGGTTAAGTTTGAAGAATTTTAATTGCAAATTCTAAAAATGCAATCCCATTTTGTCAGCAGAAAGCGTGAAACCGAAAGCAGAATTTCCTAAGTGCAAGAGAAATAGTCAGCTCGACGGCTCCCGTTGATATGATCTTGTTTCAATTGTCAAAATAATAAAATCGTCTTTGGAGCTCAGTTCAATATGATCTCTATTGAATTGTCAATTTAATATAATCTCGCAGAAGTTTCCGTGTAATAAAATCTTAATTCAGAGTAATTTTAAATTCACTTAAAAAATAAAATATTAATTCGTTTTTAATATTATTTTAGGTTTTATGATTGAAAAATTATTAATAAAATAAAATATAGGAAAATAAATGAAGAAAATTATTAAAACTTTTAAAAATATCAGAAAAATAATAAATTAATAACTATAAAATATTAATTCGTTTATAATATTATTTCATACTCTTCAATAATAATTAATTTAATAATTAATTTAATGGAAAAATAAATAATAAAATTTTTTTTTTTTTCATTTATTAGCAAGTGAAACTTCAAAAGAAGTTTATTTCAGCTGAACAATAGTTTATATACTTAGACACAATAAACTGTCAAAAAATATTAAAAGAAACAAACAATTATACTAGAAAAATAATATTAATTCATTCATACATAAACAGTTCTATACTTTTAAGTCACAATTTTTAAAAAATGATAAAACAAGCACACAAGCCGCAATATTTGGTTCAGCAATTATAGTTTCAATATTCAGTGGGAGTTGGAGATTAATTTTAAATAACTCTTGGAGTAAGCGTTGTCTTTGTAATTCAAAAAGTTTACATTGCCATATAATATAGTTTAAATCCTCAGTTTCAAAGCCACATTTACAATTAGATTTATTGACAATTCCTAATCGATAAAGAGAGAAACTAACTAATTTTAATTAATAAAATTCATTATTCATTAAAAAGTATGAAATAATATTGCAAAAAATAAAAAAATTATTAAATAAAAAAAAATTAACAACTGAAATTTTTTTTAGGTATAAAGTAGGTAATATAAATAATAAAAAATAAATATTTTTATAAATAAAATAATAATTATCAACAAAATAAAATGTAATTAAAACGTAATGAAATTTTACTTAATTTTAGTTTATTTAGTATGTTTATTATTAATTAGTTTCGTATAATTTTATTTTTTTTCTAATTTTTATTTCTTATATTAATTGATAAAAATTAATTTATTTATATAGTTTTTTATTTATTTTATAATTTTCTTCATTTATTTTTCTATATTTTATTTTATTAATTATTATTTAATCATTATATAACCTAAAATAATATTAAAAACAAATTAATATTTTATTTTTTAAGTGAATTTAAAATTACTCTGAATTAAGATTTTATTACACGGAAACTTTTGCGAGATTATATTAAATTGACAATTGAATAGAGATCATATTGAACTGAGCCCCAAAGACGATTTTAATATTTTGACAACTGAAACAAGATCATATCAACGGGAGCCGTCGAGCTAGTCTATCTCTCTTGTACTTATAATTTTCTGATTTCGGTTTACGCTTACAGCATTTTCAAGATATTGCAGAAACACCCTTAAAGCTTCGTGTGAAAGGCGATTTTGACTGAGTGCACCTTTAAACTGTCGAAACGAAAACAATTCCAGGTACAAAAAAAATATTGTAAATTTATTAATTTCATTTTAATTTAACAACATGTAAATTGTTTTACAATATTTATCATATTTATTGTAGAAAAAAGACAATTCTTTTCTGATTTTCAAATATCTATTACATCAAGTAATAATAATTTTAAGACTAAGTTTCAAGTGTATTTTAGGTTAACTATTTGTGATTGTCAAAAAATAATTCCCAGATTTTTGCTAATCTCAAAATTGTACTTTAAAATTAAATTACATTGTATAACAAAATTTCCTGTTTATTTATATTTTTGTTGTGGAATGTTCTAGAGACTTATAACATTTTATTTTTTACTTAAAAAATCTGCGAATTTAAATTCCCTTTTAGAAATTTCAATGTTTCAGTTTTACAATTTTTTTTTCAATTTATAACTTTCAAATTTGGTACTTAATAATTGTTTCTATTTATTGCGCCTATACTTTGAAACTTGAAAGTAGTAAATTTAGAAGATGTTCTGAAACAGAAACATTAATTAAAAGTAGTAATTTTTCAAGAGGAAATTTAAGTTCGCTGTATTTTTTGTAATTTTACACGTTTCTATAGCTTCTAAATGAAAACACATTATTCGCAAAAGCGTTTTATAAAACTTTAAAAAGTCCATATCAGAACTGTAGAACTACAGGAACTTATTTTACAGTGTCCTTTAATTTAGAAGTTTCTAGATAATTTTTAATTTTTCGAATCCATGTAAATTCTTGAAGTAGTATTTTATTGTGTTTTAGATTTGAAATTGAAATAATGTAAAAATTATTATAAATTGTAAATTTATGAAAATTTTACGAATTTAAGGGAATTCTTGACATATTCTAATTTCAATGTTTGTTATATTTAAAATAATATGAAAAAATAACAAAAATTTTATCAATTTTTGTTTTAGATTGAGTTGATACAAGCGTTGGAGAATCCTCTGAGTAGCATTATTTTGAAGGCGATTATTTATTTTGAAAATTCTTCAATTGCAGGATAATTGGGTACGAATTGTGAAAAATAACATATTTACATTAAAGTACAAATTATAATTGATAAATAAAAGTGCATGTAAAGCTTAATGAATAAAATTCAAATGGTATAATCGAATTATGGTATCGAAACTGTCGTTATAAAAAGGACCAAAGATAGTTTTTATTTAGATCACATGAATGAATAATTCCACAATGTTTTTTCTCTTTAATGATAATTAACAATATAGAAAAATATTTATATTATTTAATTTTGTTTGTTCCAGGTAATCGACGAAAGAATTCTTTTTGAAATTGTAGTTCATCAATTTTTCCGTTTATTATATCTTTCTATTACGTATTGTAATTATTTTATCAGTACGTGAAAAATTTACGGAATGTCGTCGAACAATGAAAATGATTATTCCAGTAGTGAATGTTATCTATATTCTGATGATTACAGTGAGGAATATGAGCATTTTGAGAATTACTGTAGTACTGACGATTACACGCCTATTTTTCTCGCCGTTCACAAAGGTGATTTAAATAGTGTTAGTACTCTACTAAATGAAAATAATTTAGAAAAAAGTGTGCATGGCAAAAGAATGTTGCACGTGGCAGCAGCACGAGGTCATCTACAGATTGTCGATTTATTGATAAAAAACGGAGCTAAACTTAATGTCGAGGACTTCAAGAAAAGAACACCGTTTTATGTAGCTTTACAGCAAAATAAAGTCGAAGTAGCCGAATTTCTATTGGAAAATGGAGCACGTATTGATATTCCAAGAAAGGGCGGAAGAACAACACTTCGTGTCGCGATAAAAACACAGAACATTCGAATTGTCGAGAGACTTTTGAAACAGGGTGCTATGGTCAATGTACGAGATGATATTTCCCGCATGAAACCAATTGATCTTGCTGCCAGTCTTAATAATATCCAACTTGTGGAACTTCTTCTGAAGTACGGCGCCAAGATGGATGAAATTGATGAGTTTCGCGATGAACAAAAATATGTCCAGAAAAGAATGACAGCTCTTCATTTTGCCGCTAAATTTGGTAATTTAGAATTGGTTAAATTATTAATGTCGAATGGATTTTACAAAATTGATGTGGGAGATTCACATGATAAAACACCCCTAGGCTTAGCAATAGGCGAACATTGTTTAGGTGTTGTGAAATACATGCTTGAAAGTGGATCAAAAATAAATGAGGATATTCCTCTCATCGATCTTTGTGTAACCAATGAAGATATAGATATCTTGAAATTTCTACTTGATCACGGTATAAAACAAGTTACGGATCACACAAAAACTCCACTTTATTGCGCATTAGATAGGCAAGAGTATGAACTTTGGAAGTACCTAATAACCTGCTATTCGAAAATTGATGCTGTTCTGTGCTCCAAGGAGACTGAACTTCATTCCGCTGTGCGCACTAACGACATTGAAAAGGTACAAGAAATTCTCAAAAAAATAAAAGTAAATTCTTTATCTGGTGAATTGGGACAATTCGCAGTTTACATCGCCGTTGAAAACGGAAACGAGGAAATGTTAACGATTCTCCTGGAAGCAGGCTGTTCAGTTGAAAGTTGTTTTAGGGACAAATTATCTCCTCTCCATATTGCAGCCACATTCGAACACACACGTTTGGTGGAAATTCTTCTGAAATTCGGTGCGAGGATTAATTCAGAAACAAGAGCACTCAGTCTCCCATTGGATTTTGCGGCAGTTATGGGAAATTTAAATATGATTAAATTTCTCTTAGACTCTGGTGCTAATCCCATTAGAAAAGATGAAAGAATTTCATCACTAAGATATTTATTAAACCAAAATAACATTTTAGAAACAATCACAACTTCAATGTATCATAATTTATTAAAAGCAACAGAGCTGTTATTAATTGCCGGAGATCTAAAGCATACAAGTGACGAACATGTTGTTTCATTGTTAAGAGATGCTTTCAGCTTAAGAGTTTTTAGAGAGGGCGAACAAACTCTGATTAGTGACAATGAAGAGTTTGTGAATAGTGAGGGGAAAAAAGGGGAATTTCGTCCTGATATTGTTAGGTGCTTGCTTAATTATTTAGACAATAAATTACTCAAAGAAGTTATAAATTTAATCTTATGTGATGATCACATTAATTCTGATATTTCTGAAATTATTATCGAATATTACGATTATAATTTCATTCCAATCGATCCTTATTTTACTGGATGTGATTGGACTGATTTATTTATAGTAAATGAAATAAAGCACGATTACAGGCTTTTGAATATTACGCGAAATAATATGTTTTCGAGTAAATTAATGGAAAATGATGATGAACTTTTAAAGTTGATAATTACACGTCTTGAACTGCTAAAACCCAGTTGCAAAGAAATAATAAAATATTTCAATTCAAGTGAATATAAAAGAAAAATTCAAAAATTTCAAAATGAATGTCGAGAACAGATAATAATTATGGAAAAAACAAAAGTTATGGAAGAATTAAATTTGACTTTTTACGATATTCTAGTAGAGTCTACTGACAAAATTGCGAGTTGCATAAGAGATGTGAAGTTGTTAAATAGCAATGAATTAACGTATGATAAATTTCCCGCGTATACAAAATTTTTAAAGTTACGTATTGAGAAAGTAAAGTGCAGAAGTGAGTTGATTGACATATCGACGAATTGTTTGTATCATTACATTGAGAGAAATTATAAAATTCAATTTTCAACAATTGATCTACAAGAAATATTACAATATCTTTCAATGTGCGATCTTCGAAAATTGTCATCAGTTTTTTCCGAATTTTCTCACTTTAAAAAACAGTGAAAAATAGTGATCGACGATAAAAAAAATTTGAAATTTCACTATAATACTATCTCAGTCACAGTTTCTGTACTTTTTTAGTTCAAATCAGACTAAAGTATTTTTAAAAAAATCTTCTTTTTATCAATTTGTTGCATCTACTGCAACAAGTTTTGTACTCTCCATTATATTTTTGTATTGTCTATTGTACTTGCTATTATATGTAAGATAAAGCTAAGCATGCTTTATGCTTTAATACAGGAATAAATAATTTTTACATAAAATTAAAAATGGTAAAACTTTGTAAAGATAAAAACATTTTTGGTAAATTATTAAATTTTGTTTTTCAACTGAAAAGTAATTATTTTAACTATTATTCATTCTAATGGAGCACTCACAGCTCTGCCTGCCTGCGCAGGCAGTAATTAGAGAAAGAGAGAAAGTCAATTAGAGTGAAAGAGACAGTAAATTCAAATTTGTATTGCTGCCTACTAGCTGTGAGTGCGCCTTAAAGGTCTCGGTTACAGTATTCTATGATAGTTTTTGAAAATTGAAGTTTGAAGAATTTGAATTCCAAGTTACAAAAATAATTAAATTCTTAAATCTTTTAATTGTTTTCGTCAACTCGAGTAATTAGTTTGACATCAAATTGATGAGCTAGATTAGATTAGCTAGTTAGATTTTTTTGCAATTTTTTTAATTAAATTTCAATTTTCATTTACAGATTTGTAATCAGCAAAACTGAATCTATGGAAAGTGGTTAGAATTATTCAAGGAGCAAAATCAGTATCACGGACAGTATAATAATTTATTCAAAATACAAATTTTATTATTTAAATTTACATTTTCACAATGTTATAAAATTTAATTAATACTTTTTTTAGTTTTTTTTACATATGAATGATAAACTAATTTTTAGAAATAGTCTTTTAAACTCTCGTAGATATACGTGTTACATAATCAACAGAGTATCATTCTTCGAACCAAATTCGCTTGTTATCCTTCATAAACTTAACTATTAAGTCCCTCGAATCGAGATTATTAGATTCCGCAAATAGAAAGAAGTCTAAAGCTTTAGTAAAAGTTTTAATCGTTTTCAAAATTTCGTTTATCGCAGTTGTTTTCAATTCTTCTAAATTGTACTTATTTGCAATTAATAGAAGCTGTTGCAATTCATCTTCGCATAATTCTGCTTTTATTCCGCCCGAGTATAGGTAACGAATCATTATTTCAACAATTGTCGGTTTAAAATCACTGATTGTTAGTACATTTTCTGTAGATTCCTTCATTGGACATTGAAGCATGGCTTTGAAAACGGGAGAATGACCCAGAATTATTTTATGAACGCAGAATTCCTGAGCTTCACAAATTATTTTAAAATCAGTGAATAGTTTTTCTTCGTAGAGAGAGAGAAAATATGCAGATTTTTCATCTTTAGGAATATCTATTTTCAAAAGAGGAATATCCTTCTCTATTATTACGCAATAGATTAATATCTTGTTACAAAAAATAGCATCTTCGTCTACAGACTTTGGACTCATGGAGAAAAATTTCTCATAAACGTCAGAACAAGTAACGTTTGTTTCATTAATAACCACCAATCTAGATTCAGATGTTGGTAAATACACTAAGTGGGTTTTTACTTCACATTGTTTATTCAGTGCTAAATTACTGAAACATATCTTTCCAGTTATAACATCATACGCATTATGTTCAAAAGTAAAACGACAAGAAAAATTTGAAGTTTTATTTAAAATTACCGACTCAGTATCTCCTGAATTTTCTATATTATTTGTAGAAAGAAATATTAATAACCCGGATTCAGAGGAATTGCCTATATTGATTTTTTCAATCGTACATGCTCTGGATTTGATTGCCCCAGTCATCTCCACAATTTAGAAAAAATGATGGATTTTACAGCATACCGTTAATAAATTCTGTAAAAAATATTTTTGTCAACAAAATATATCAATCTAATGAAATATTAAGAGGACGTCGAAGTAGCTTGAAAACAATGCAAAAAGAGAAGCAATTTTCTGTATTATACACTTTTCTCAAAAACTAATTATCTAATTGACTTCGCTTTTGTCTCATTCGTTTGCAAATGTTATCAAGTATCCAATCAATTTATTAAAAAACATGAGTCGAACTACAAATATTATTTTATAAACATTTAAAAGTTTTTCTGTGAAATTTTTACATGAAGATTCATGTAAAAATCGAAACGACTTTTACATGTTCTTAAAAATGCTAATTATTATTCATTAGGATAAAATAATATAAATAATTATAATTGCTGTTAATTGATATTATAAAATAATAAAATTACCAAGAAATTCTTCCTTTTTCCTCCTTTTTTTTTCTTTATTAAAAATAAATTCTTTATAATGCCAAAGATGTAGAAACTCTAGAGATGAAAGAATCACAAAAAACGGATATTTAAACGAAATAGGTTAAAATCGCGTTCACAACGTTCACACTCAGCTGCAAAGGTATTTCTACAATTATAACTAGCAGGTGCACAAATTTTTGTGCGAGCGAGCTGTTTGTAATTTAAATAATTAAATTCTCGTAGAACTTTTCCTAATAGAAATTGATTTTAAAATAAATTTCAGTTAAAGTAGTTTAGATAATAATTAAATATTAAAAGCAATATAAGTAGTGTAATTGAATTTTGAAATTAAAATGTAGCGAATTGTCCGCTTGATTAAAATTTCGGAAGTGTGCAAGCACCTTAAAGATACAGTCACATAAAAACGGAAATGGAAAACGTATGGCCAATAGGAACGTCCGATTCAATGGAAATGATTGTAATAGAGATTTCTCATTGGCTAGTCCAAGAAGAGACATTTTCCATTACATTAGCAGCGAATCAGCGATACGACGAGAGTGTCGAGAACTACCGCACGCCTCAAAATTGCAATCCCCACTTACTCAGCTTAGTTTAATCTCCCTCGAACAATCTTTTCTGAATAATGAATCATATTTCATGGTCGTTTCGCGAGTGAATGAATGGGCAGCCATTTTTAAACTTCACACTCTACCGTAAAAATTTAAAGCAAAAAAATAAGCAGAGAGAAAATGGCTCAGCAGAACATATTTGAATTGAGTTCTGAAAGCGAATGATATTAAAACGGAACGTGCACATTATTGAGCTACAAAGAGAAGTAGTTGATTGTAATATCGGTTTTTAAAAAAAAAGAGTTTGGTTTTTTTGCGTCTTTTGTAGCGGACGGTAGAGTAGCGCATTCACTTGAACACCGTGTGGGATTTTTTTTATATTAAAAACGGTGAACTGTCAACACCTTGAAAAATTGAATAAGAAATAATGTACGTTCAATTATTCTCTCATTATTCTTGAATAATAGAAATTATCATTGAAATGTTTATTGAATGACTGCCGGTGAACAACGCTAGGTAAAATTTGCGTTGCCATACCGGATACTTCGACTGCAAAAAGAGATTAAAGTCAAGAGACGTACGTAGGCATCAGCGATGTCGATTTTAATATGCGACAGGATAGACACCAGAGATATCCTGGAATGCCAGTGCTAATGTCAAGTGATCTTAATAATGGCAGATAGTGTTCACAGAAAACCGCACAAGCTGCTGTCTGATGGTAAATATAACCACAATTTTTATTACTCTCTCTTCCCACGCATACTTTTAACTATAATTATTTCTTCATTTCCTGCACACATCATCGTCTTCCCCGATAATCAACACACATGTAGACACCATAACCTAACTTTCCTAATTTTTCATTTTTTAAATTCCCCCTTTTTTTAATCCATATTAATATCACATAATTCTAGTCATTTTTCAATCAGTCGAGTATTTTCTCCTTTTATCTAAATTGATAATTTTACTATTCGACACTTTCAATATTTATTTATCTTCCCCCTTTAATTATATATTACATTTCAAATTGTTTATAATAGTTTTCATTTCTTTACGTGGGTTTCTATTTTATTTGTTTTAGAGCAAAATTTATTACTGACAAAACAAATGAAAAGCGATCAATTTTAATATATATTTTTCAATTTGCGTGTATCCATCTGGATTAAAATATTGTACTTTTGCATTAAGTTGACTTTAAATGAAGTCATCAACTGTGAAATCTTTTTTGACCTCGAATTCAAGTGACTATTACTATTTTTTGACATATTTTCACGAGATATTTTGTAAAAACCCACAAGTGATAATATTTTATTCTAATCTCAAGAGAATTTCATTTTCAAATTTTAATTTTAATACAAATACTCAGGCTTCGTACTCGATAATTAATTATAAAAAAGTATCTTTAAAATTGAAAAAAGTATCTGTGGAAAAATTAAATTTGAGAACTAAATTTTTTAATATTTTCCAAATTAAATTACATTTAAGAATAGAATAGTTTTATTAAAGTAAATATTTAAAATACCTATTTATTTTTCCCTAGGAATTAAAATATTTTAAATGATTTCAATGTAAAGCCTTTTTGAAATTTAACTATTTCTAGAAATTACAACTGTAATTCTTCCAAAATTCAATAATTTTTTTGTTGAAATTTTTAAATAAAGTTATTAAAAACATTTGAAATTAAAATCATTTTATTAAATTAAATTAAATTAATATTATTAAATTTATTAAATTAAATCATTAAAATTATTTTATTTTGTAAAAAAATTTAAAAATAATTAAAGTTTTATGACAATTGAAATTTTTTCAAGGATTTTAATTTTACAAACTTTTGAAATTTAAATATTTTTAAAAATTCATGCAAAAACTTTTTTAATCAATTCTTATTAGAAAGTTCAAAAGTAAATAATTTTATTGAATAATTGAATATTTCTTAAAAATTAATTCTTATTAAGAACTTTATAAAAAAATTTTTAAATCCTATTTAAATTTTGTCCAAGAATTTTAATAAAATTTTCAAGAATTGCTTTTGTCGAGGAATTCATATAAAATTGTATTAAAAATAATTTTAAAAAAATTCAATTAAACTTTTCCAGAAAATTTGATCAACCAGAGTTATTGATTAAAAGTTGGACAAATTCAGATTGTTAACGATTTTAATCTGAAACCTTTTCAAAATTCAATTATTTCAAAAAATTCACGCCATAATATTCTTTTAATATTCAATTATTATCTAAAATTTTAACTGAAATCCATTTTTAAATAAATTTTTATCAGAAAATTCTATGAGAATTCAATTATTTAATTATAAAAATAAATAATTTATTGAATAATTGAATGTTTTTTAAAATTTAATTATCATAAAGAATTTTGTAAACAAATTTTTATGAATAATCACATTTTTCTAGGAATTCGATTAAAATTTTATTTTATTTTATTTATGGAAACAATTTAATTCATAAAAAGAATTTTATTATTTATGAAAATAATTGAATTCCTGAAAAGAATTTTATTATTTATAAAAGTAATTGAAGTATAGCAGAAAAATTTATAAAAAAATTTTAAATAATTGAATTTCTGTAAAATTTTTATTATTCATGAAAATAATTAAATGTTTGTTTAGAATTTTATTGACATTTTTTTTAAATAATTGAATTCTTTTGGAAAATTTTATTAACGAAAATTTTTGAAAATAATTGAAATTTTGCCAAGAATTTTATTAAAATTTTTGAAAATAATTCAATTTCGGAGAAGGATTTTATTATTTATAAAAATAATTGAAATTTTGACGAGAATTGAAAAAGATTGTTGAACATAATTGAATTTCTCCGAAGAATTTTATGAGGTACTTTAGAAAATAATTAATAATAATTAAGTTAATTAATTAAAATATTTGTTAATTTAACTTTATAAATCCAAATTAATCTAATCTAATAAAATTGTATTCGATTTAAATTTCCCTCGAACCAAATTTTAAACGATTAAAGCTTTAAGTGCTGATAAAAATCATCAAGTGATTAAAATTACAACACATTAATTAATTTACAAGTTAATTTGTTTTATCTAACATTTTTAAACACCTTTTTTCAAAAATATGTTTTCTTTCATTCTATTAAAAAAAAAAGTATACATACTGATGTGAATCCTGCAAAATTATTAAAAAGTTAGATATTTTTACATTTTTATCAATTTTGACAATACTCTATAAATTTGAATAATATTATTCAAAAGTTCTAAAAAAATAATTGAATTTTGGAAGACTTGCTGTTCAAATTTTCATTTAGAAAATTTGTCAAATAGTTTTACATTTCATTTGAAAATTCTAAAAAAATAGGTTTTTGAAAAATACCTAGTAATTAAAATTTTTTGAAAATATGTACTTGAATTCCCGAAAATAATTTTAAAAATATTGAAACAATTGGAATTTTTGCAAAAATTTATTAAAATAAATTTAATTTTATCATCTTTAAAAATTATTTATAAATATAATTGTTTTTTTGAAAATACATACATTATTTTATGAATTCAGAAAAATTATTCTATTTAAATAATTCAATTCTCGTAGTTGAATTCTGATAGAAATTGTTTTTAAAAAAAAATTGCAGCTAAAATTTTAGAAAATAATAATTGAATATTTAAAGCGTTAAATAAGAATTTTAGAAATCAATTAAATTTAAAAAAAATTTTAAATTAAATTCTTTGAAAATTTAAGGGAAGTAAAAGTATAAAAATATATAAATTTATATTTCAAAAAATTATAAATTACATTATTTTTCTTTGAAAATTCTCAAAGTTTTGAATAATTTTACTTTAAAATTCAAAAAAAAAATAATTGCAAATTTTAAAAGAATTACAGTTGAAATTTTTAGAAATAATTCAATTTCAAAAAGTTTTTCATTAAAATTATTTTGCAATTTTAATTCTTGTGGAAAAAGAAATCAGAATAAGGTTTTAAATTTTTTTTTAACAAAAAGTATTCAAGTTTTGAATAATTTAATTCAGAAATTCCGAAGAAATTTGTTTCTTGAAAAAATGTAATTAATTTTTTTTTAAATAATTGTATTTCCGAAAATAATTTTAAATAATTGGAACAATTGGAAATTTTGTCAAATTTTATGGAAATTAATTTTATATTTTAATGAATTTTATATATATTTACTTTTAAAAATTATTTTGAAATATAATTTTGAAATTTTTCGACTTTTCTTTCAAATTTTGCGACAAAATACCATATTTTTAGTATAAAATACAACTTATTTCGAATATTTTTATAGCGTGAAAAGCATAACTGTAGACAAATCTTTGAAAATTTGTTTTTGAATAATTTTTTTAATTAAATTTTTGAAATATACAATTTTAATGAATAATCTTCAAGTGTAAATTCAATAAAAATGAAAATGAATGAAAATTAGGTTTCTAGAAATAATATTAAAATAGTTTTGAAAAATGTAATTCTCTGAATTATTTCGTTCTAATTTTTTAAAATTCAATTATTTTCAGTATTTTTGATATTCAATATTTTCAAAATTTCCGAAAATCTAAATACATACACAAAATGATAAAATTAAAATTTTTTACAATTATTTTTAACATTTTGGAAAAAATAATCATATTCAAAATTTTTAATTAAAATTCCTCAAAAAATGATTTTTTTTAAATTATACAAAAATTTTTCAATTATTTTCGAAAAATTACTTTACAATATTTACAAAAAACATTCTTAGAATTGTTTTATAATTTTTTAAGATTCAATTACCTTCGAACAAAGTAAATTAAAATTTTTAAAAATATACTATTTTAGAATATATTTAAGCAATCATTTATAATTAAAATTCTTCAAAAATTTGATTATTTTTTATTATATATTTTTTGAAAACTGAATTATTTTTAAAAGATTTTACTAAATTTAAATTATTTTTTAAAAGATTGTTCCAAATTTCAATTTTTTTTACATTTTTTAATTGTATGTAATTGTAAAACTATTTTCTTTCAAAAATTATTTAGAAATATTTTTAAAAAGTTAATTTTACGAATTTGTTTATTGAAAAGTTTCTGAAAATATTCTGACCTTAATATCTTTAAAAAGAAAAATGGATGGTTTAAATTATTATGAAAAATTGAATTTTTGTATTTTAAATTAATTGAATTTTCGAAAAACCTTCGGAAAAGTATTAAAAATTAATATTGATGATTGATTTAGAGATGAAATTTAGTTAAATATTATTGATAATTATTGAATTTTTGGAAGGATTATAGTTTTAATTTTTAGAAATTATTTAATTTCAGAAGTTGAAACTTTTCAAATTTTATTATTTTCTGTGAAAAAAAATAAGAAATATTTTTTAGTTTAGAATAATTGAATTTAGAAATTAGTTTAAGGTCAGGCAAATAAAAAATAAAATTTTTGTGTCACAAAATTTAAATAAACGACTTTTTCGATTTTGTTTGGTATTTTTAATCGACTAAAGCGAATTTTAAATGCGGGCGGAACGAAAGAATGAAATAATACAAAGATTAATATAGTTAATTAATAATGAATTCATTATTTAAATAATTTGATTTTATCAATTATTTTCTATAAAACTTTTTTGAAAAATAAAATGATAAAAAATAAAAATATAATGTAAAGAAAAATAAATAATTTGTTAGAGTAAATAATGTATCTGTGAAGATTTTGATGACCCTTTTTGATACTATTTTTCACTTTCGGAATTGAGT